GGCTTGATATTCCAATCATAAGTGGAGGCCCAGGCCAGCAAAATTTCTTTGTTGGTACCTGCCGGAAGTGGCTGTACTCGGTATGTCAACGGCAAGATGCGGCCATCCGGAGGTGCTTGGTCGGGCTTGAGCTTCTGCCATGCTTGCTGATATGCCCCCGCCTCGACTCTGAGCCCTATGGATTTGGTCCCACGGACCAACCCGGCTGCCCCAGTCAGGGCCGCTGATTTACTCTCGATTTGGCTGGGTTGGAGGGGTAGCCATATTACTCGCCAATTTTCATCAGGGGTACCCTGGGGGCATTTTGGGGTCATGAACACTTTGTTGAACCCCGAACGTTTGAGTAATGACTGCAGACGCGGCCCCATCGTGAATTCAGCGTGAAACTGGATACTGTCCGCCCTGGATGCCTCAACTGGGAGACCCTTGCAACGGAACGATCGACCCCATGGTTTACCTAAGAGCTCTTGGTACCCCTCGAGGGCGAACAGGGCCTTAGTTGTTTTGACCGGGGATTGGCAGAGTCGTTCCCACATTTGTTCATCAAAATCCGATTGCCAGAGTGTTACTGCCATGATTTGGGTTTTGGATGAGTCCAGGTCGACTGCATTGGGCGCTGGTGGGTGTATCTTTCGTTGGCCTAATTGAATGAGTTTACCATTCAATAGCACTCTGCGACCACGATCGTCCACAGCAGGGGGAATAGCGAAATCCCCCACAACATAGATTGCCAACTCATCCGGTGATCTTTCCGTGGTGGTGGCTAGGAGGTCTGTGGCAATGAAAGATGACATCAAACAAACACCTGATGCGTGCCAGGAAAACTGTGAGTTGACTGGGGCGGGGGTATCATCATGGTTGAGGAAGAAACCGTCTTCCAATTGGTAGAGATTGACATCAATGTTTTGGTGATGGCGATTGTTTTGATGGGTACGGACTTTCTTCATTTTTGCTTCCGCAAGGTGCAACTTGGAAACATTCTGAGGAAGCTCAATCTGGGCAGCCTGGCACAACTGTTGAAACATGCGTCTCATCCCCGCGGTGGAGTCAAGCTGGAGCAAACTATGGATTCTGGGCAACCCTGCAAAATCCAAAATTTTGGTAGTGGATGTGGTGACTGCTGGAAGGTCAAGTCCATGTTCAAGGAACAAATTTGCAATGCCAGCTTGGGCTACTCGAATTGCATCTTGCTTGGCAGTTGGGTGGCGTTCTGTTCCCCCCCTCCCGACATGGGTGGGGAGATGTGAATGATAATTGGTCCTGACTTCGGCAATCGGTCAAACAGGTCTCTCACTGTGGCAGGCTCGGTACATCGTTTGCCGGATGCAATCATGCTTGGTTGGCCTTCACCGTAGATCTGATAAACATGTTTGAACAAAACCAAGAAGGCAGCAATTGGAGTGGATGCGGCAAAATTACAACGAATGATGACCTTACTCAACCTCTTGATGATGGTGTCATACCCTGAGTTCGTCTGCAGAGAGGCCAAGCATTGTTTCCAAATTCTCCAAGTGAGAGCTTCTTTGAAAAAAGGTACTGGCATTGTTGGGTTGTCATGGTGTGGGCGGAAAATGAGGCGCCATGAATAGTCATCTATTAACTGGAAATTGCACTGTCTGCCAATCTGATGGTACCATGTCATTTGCTGCTCTGACATCCAACATCGAAGGAATGCTTGTCTGGCTTCCCCATCCCCCGTGCAGTGAAGGATCAAGATGTCAGTGCTCTTCGGAACCAATGTCGTGAATTCAGCACGTTCAAGCGCAAAAATTTGGCTCTCGGAAAGAACTGGCCGGATTGGTTCATATGGCCTATCTGACACTTCGACACGACCATGGAAGACACAGGCATCATGTAAATCTCCAAAGATGTCATGCTTGGCGGTACTAAGCTGTGGGTGCCAAGTTCTGATCTGGCGCCAGGTGGATCCATCAACTACTTCGTACAAAGAGAGGTCAACATCTGAACGGTCCAAAATGGGGATAACTGTGTCCTTCGGAGCAGTATCCAAGGCTGCTCGCAATGAGTGATCCTGTGGTTGATCTGTCAAGGGCCTCAGAACTGTTCTTGGATGCAATCCAGCCTGATTGATTGGTTGGTCGATGTGCTGGATGTCTTGATCAGTTGGCGAAAGTGGCTGTTCCCAGACTGTCAGCAAAGTTCTGGCTTTGACACATGGGCTGACTTTGATCGTTCCATATTCCCCTGGGATCAGTTTCGGCATGACCAGCAAGTCCTGGTCTGGCTGTGAGGCAACATCTTCAATGGGATCATCGGATGCAGGCTGGCTTGACTCTGAAATGGTCTCAGGGATATTTGCATGATCCTCTTTCTGCCAATCCAGTGGGAGGAGACCATCAACTGGGGAGAAAAAGGTTCCCGCAGGCCAAGTATTTTGTGCATCTTCTGTCCATTCCAATTGGGTCGTAAAAAATTGGAGACGCTGCTTAAGGATGGTCACTTGGTTTGGTGTTCCTAGGTACCATGCAAATTGGTCCTGTTGAATGGCTGAGTTGGAAATCTTGAATCTGTTGTGTATGAAATTCTGTACCATCTGCGTGGGGTTGATGTGGAGATTGTCTCTGGCATTGAGCGCATGTGCAAGTGCAAAAATGGCATGTGGAGTACTGATGCAGTTTCCTAGGGTTTCCCATCCAAGTGTCTTGGGTTTGAGAATGATCATGGGGAATGCCTGTGCGTGCAACAATGCAATCTCAGCTGGTGACCAAAAACGGAAGGTCATACCACTACGCAGAAAATGGCCGAACAAACCCTTGGTGGTGAGTTGATACGGTCTCAAAGTGTGTTGCTGGCCATATCGTGACATGAATGTTGGAATCTTGCCGTCAATGCTGGGAATGTGATAATCCAAGATCTGCTTTTTGGTCCAAACCGTATGACGTCCTGGCAGAAAATTGGGGTCAAAATACATCGATGCGTCCGGCACGGATGGTTCAAACTCCAATGCTTCTTCGGCTGACATTGGCCGGATGGCGTCAAATGATCGTGCTGTGCTATGTACACTTGGCCAGCGAAAGGCGGTGAGTTGCTCCATGTTGAGCTTGGGCAATTGGTCTACATGAACTAAGATACCTAGCCATCGTGCACGTCTGCATGGCGTGACATTGGAGAGGTCAAAAATCCCTGAGTGGATCATGTGGTAACCAGCCCATGTCAGCATTCGTGTGGCTAACCCAAACTGGGTATGTCCCTCAAAGCCTGAAACCTGTTCCAAAGTGGCAACCTGAGGCTTGAAAATGCGCAACTGGGCAATGGCATGTGCGAGGGCAAGGCCGTCTGGAGACCAAAATCCCTCCTGACTGGCAGCTGTTGTCCATGATACGCAAGGAGCTGAAACTGTCCACAAATGGATTGGCATATGTTGCAACTGGTGTTGCCAGCACAATTCCTGAATGCGGGTCACAATCACAGCATTACGGTCAAGCTGGCTGATGAAGTTGGTCGGCATGTCATGTGGGTTCCCTATCAAACAACTTCCATGAGACAAGGCATATTGTGTGGCGTAGGGAAGGTTGGATTCGATACCCAAGATTCGATGGGGCGCTTCACAAGCTTCAATTTGAGATTCCAGGTATCTCAAGCCAAATGACCAACCTCCAAAGCCCCCTGAAAACTGTTCAAGGGTCCATTTAGAGGGAAATTCAGTCCAAACTTCGTTGTTCCATGGGATGAGTAGGCTCTGGGAGTCTGCATGCAACTTCAAGGGATCGATCTGAGTCACTACAACATTATGGCAATACAGGTCTGAAACATTTCGCATCAACTGAAAACGACTCGTCGTCAACTCAACTGCTCGATCCGTCATGTCGAAGGTTGCAGGCTTCTCAGTGTGCCATGCCATGAATCTGTGATCATGAAGGTTGGGATCCTTGAGTAAACCTGAGATGGAAAAGTCATTGTTTGATCGAACCCCTGATACCAGTACATTGGCCCTTGTACTTGGTCTCATAGAGGATGATGTAATATCGTAGGTTCGAATAAGTTCCAACATGGGGATGGGCAAAACCGAGAATGCCGAGAATGCCATGGCCCAATCTGCTCTCAAACGAGACACCACCCTTGCCACGGGGCGGCTTGGACCGGAAGGGCCTTGAATAGTTCGGCTATTTGGGGATGATTCCCCTTACGAACCATGATTCCAGGGTTCGGGAGAACAGTGAGGTTTTAATTTACCCAGATATCCAGATATGGTTATAATATATTACTAACCACTATTAATCTATATAATATGATATATATATATATATGATACTGTGGATGGTTGCAAAATCCTGCCCCACTTTGCGGGATGTTTATTTACCACACATCACCGTCGCAGGATCCCACAGGTGGCCACCGCGCAAAAGCGGTTCCCCTGGTGGTTCAGCTCGGACTAGACGCAACGCCCACCAGAGTAGCTGAGTTCACCCCAGTGGTTCTAGCCCTACGCCACTACTGCAATGTGAGGCCCCCAAGATAGCTGAACATAACTCCAATTTCACCATGGTTTATGGTACGCAAATAACTATAGTTACTGGTGCGAATCTAAACCAACGTTCACATCACTGGGGGGGGGCACATTGTGCTTTTTGGGCCGTTGTTTGGCCGAAACAAAGGGGTGAATCACCTTAAGCATTCACCAGGTATTCAGTCAGTGCCCAAAAAAGGCAGCGAAAAGGTGGCTGTGTTTTTTCCAACAGCGGACAGCTGCCATCTTCAACACAGGTTTTTTTTTCAGAAACAAGTTGGTTTTCAGATTTGATGCCAAAGAAGTTAGAATATGTTCCACAGGTGTCTGCTAGCCCGATTTTTTTGGCCACCCATTTCCCTGGCCGATCTTAGATACCTAGATACCACTCAAAAAATCTACATATATCACCATTTATAATATGTTATAAGCCTCTATAAATTGAAGCTTATAAGATCAAGGATCAAGATATAATACTACCATATACTGTCATATACTACCCTTTTTCCAGCTTTATCAAATACGTGCAGTCCTCCTGGTCGCAACGCTGTGTTGCCAAGAAGTTTTTGCACATGGCTGTCTTCCTGCCAGCCAAAATCAGGGACAGAGTGAAATAGGGTCATGATTCATACTGCTTCATGCCACCAATGTTTTTGCTGGGTTTCTCTGCTGCCTCAAGATAAAATACCCCATGCCCTCCAGTGGTGTATCATGCTTTACTGGTTGATGGTTTCAACCCCTCTGAAAAATATAAAAGTCAGGTGGGATGATTATTCCCAATATATGGGAAAATGTTCCAAACCGCCAACCAGTTTATCATCATATGCCCTGGTAAAACATGGTAAAAATGCCAGACATGTGGTGTAGCTCACACAGGGGGCAACTAACAAGGGTATCTTCTGGTAGTAACCAATAACTAACAAGTATAGTAATAGCTAATAACTATATTAAAAAATAACTAATACCTCTGGTAATTTGTTACATAGCTATTGAAAATGGCCCATTTATAGTGAGTTGTTCAATTACACATGGTGGATCTTTCCTATACTATATAAGGGATTATCATCACCTCCAGGAAAATTCTGAAAACGGTTGACCACGGTTGATCCATCGATTTTGGGCAGGAGCCGCGAGGCTTTTTCTGAGGGGATAGACCTTTTGTGAAGGAGATGTTTCACTTCTGATACCCTCTGGTTATTTATATAACATAGCCATGGAAAATGGCCCATTTATAGATGATTTTCCCATTAAAACCTCCGTTTATAAGGGATTTTCCATGGCTATGTTAAATAACCAGAGGGTATCTTCTGCATTGAGATTGTCCCCAACCACCATCATTGGTCTTTGGTTGCGGGTTCGTTGTTTGGCAAAATGGGGATTCATCCCAGACATGGGCTAGCTGCTAGCCCCACAATGACACACAACTGGTTGGTGGTTGACCTACCCCTCTGAAAAATATGAGTCAGTTGGGATTACTATTCCCAACTGAATGGAAAGTCATAAAATTCATGTTCCAAACCACCAACCAGACAATTGATGGGCAACATGAAGCGAAAAATCCATGGGTAACTTTCGGGACTTTTGGGACTTATTCGGGTATCCATGGTATCCCGGTATATCCCATATTTGTTAGATCACTTATAATCACTGGCCATTTCAGGAACCTAAATTGGAGGTACCTACCATATATAAGGCCTATATAAGGCCTATGTAAGGGAATATCCCCACAAAATATGGCCTAACAAATGGTACAGTACCTCCATTTTAGGATCCTGGAATTCCCATTGATATAAAGATGTTGCCCTATGGATCCAGCCGTACCTTCTGAAAGGAAGTGTGACTGGAGTACGATGACTAGGGGGTTAGCCGTACCTTCTCCTTATAGGATTGATTTGTCTAAAGTTTTTGGAAGACACATTTATTAATGTAGGTCAAACAATGTCATAAACCACTCCATTTTTGGATGGTTTATACCACCCATAAAAATGGTGATTTTGGGGACGGTTTGTGGTTGGTGGTTAAAAAACAATCTTGAAAAATATGAGTTCGTCAATGGGTTTCAGATGACATCCCATATATGAAATGGAAAATAAAATTCATGGTCCAAACCACCAACCAGTGATTATTAACCATTATCAACCATCATTAACCATCATTACCCCATACTAAACCAATGGATATATCATACCATTACCAGTATCAACCAATGAGAATTTGGTCCAAAGCACCAGGGTTGGCGGGAGCCTCAGGTCTGGTGCTCGCTGGAGTTCTTCCATGCCATGGGCAAACTTACAGAACTTTCGGCCTCGGTGCGTCTCATGAGTTCCATGCGAAAAACAGAAATGTCAACTGAAACCAGACAGAGAACATGATACTAATGGTGATTTAATGGTGATTTTATAGGATATTAATGGGATATAATGGGGATTCAATGTGGATACCCTCTGGTAACCGTTTACATAACTATGGAAAGATCCACCATTTATAACAGCTAAATCATCTATAAATGGTCCATTTTCAATAGCTACGTGAAAAATTACCAGAGAGTATAACAATTTTAGAACTAGGTTGCAAAGAAATAATCATCCAGTTCAAAATGATAATTTCCGGCCAATTCGAAAGGGGTATTGATATATGTATTGATTCTGTTGATGAAATTTGATGAACAATTCCGAGGAGTTTCCACGAGCGAGATTATTTTTAGATCAAGATCCAGGCTGGACTCAGACATTAGTCATTGCTCCTGATGGGTATCCAGCAAAGCACGTGGAAAACGCCATGGAAAGCCATGCTTTGTCGAGGAAAATGGCCTTACAACTGCTGGGGAAAGTCTGGTTATTCTGGTTTTCCGAATTTTCTATGGCAATTTGCTGGAAGTGGAAGTCAATACCCTCTGGTAATTTAACATAACTATTGAAAATGGCCATTTATAGTGAATTTTCCCATTAAAAATGGTGATTTTCCATAGCTATGTTAGTTTACCAGAGGGTAGTTGACACGACAATTTTTGTGCACAGAACGATGCGCTTTCCACTGGCGAAGCTCGGAAACTGGGAAACTGGAAGGCGGGCTGGGCTTTTTGGTCATCCCCAGCAGATTTTTTTAAACAAAATCCACCTACAAGTCGTGAGGCCCCCGTTTACGAACGCTAAGTTGGTGAACATAGCTCCAATTTCACTATGGTTTATGGTACGCAAATAACTATAGTTACTGGGGTTTATAAACCAACAAACATCACTGGGGGGGGCCACATTGTATGATTAATGGCTTATAAATCCCCCACGGATTGATGAAAATCCTCCAGTTGATCTTCGCACAGAAAAATTTTCCCGATCTGCACCACCACCAAGGTGCCTTTTTTGTGTGCAGATTCCCAGTTCGATCATAAAAAGTGGCTGAGTTCATAATCCACATCTGTCCGGTGGTTGAAACCCATATGGCCCACATTTCCAGCCACTAGCCTCTGGTCAAAGACAGTTTGCTTCCCCAGTTATGGCTTATATATGGTTATATAATGTTATATAATGCTATAGTCCCATCAGCCTAATATTAAACACCCCAATTGCATGGTCCCAATGTGGAAATTCCCAACCAAAAAACCACGGTTTCGTTGAACGGGGCTGTTTTTTACATGGGGAAGGGAGTAAGCCACCAACCGCCAGGGTCCCAACTGCATCGGCCACTTTGAAAGAAAATGCACAATTTCGTCCTCGCAAGCGAATCGGCGGACGGTCATGGTTAGCACCCGGAAAGTGATAACCCCAGTTACTGTAGCAAATTGATGATTTCATATGGATTTAATGGGATTTAATGGGGATTTCATGGGATTCAGTTAGCAAAGGTGGTTGAACTTCTGGTATATCGATTCACTGTTGGATTTATGGTATATTAAATTAGTTTGATTGGATTAGAGCCCATATAAACAACATTTTCTTGCGGGACAATTCAACCACCCCCCCTTCAGAACGGATGGTTCATATATCTGTTAAGATTCGCCATCATGTTTTTGGGGCCGGCACCAGCGACCAAAGACGACCGTCATCTGCCCCCGCTGGGCCGCTATTTTTTTTTGTGTCGGGCCGAAACCACAAGCTGCGCCACCGAAAACTTCGCTACGGTGGCATCACTGAAATCATGACCGATGGGCAGGTCCAGACTGGTCCAGATGCTCCAGGGGATTCTGCGTCCGGAGCTTCTCCAGAGTTGGTCAAAACAAATGTCGCAAGTCCCGGCCCTAGATAGAACATACGGGGGTTTCCGAAGGTCCTATGCGGGTACCCCGAAAACGCTAGATGGTTTAGTTCATAGAAAATCCGAAATAACATGGATGATGACTCGGGGTACCCCTATGACTTAGGAAACCACCATATCTTTTAAACCTGGGAATGATGGGGAAAAACATCATCGGTCACTACCACCTTAAGAGGTTCTGAAATCACACGGTGCCCCAACATCGGACTCACGCTAAGTTGGTAAACATCACCGGTCTACGGTAGATATATCCAACTAGTTAAAAGGGGAATGTAAATCAACAAACATATATAACTGGGGCAGGCACCATCTTGTAGAATTGATCTTGCTTTAAGATGCTATTCGAGCTGTCTGGAGAAGATATATTTATAGATATACCATCTGGTTATGACATTCACAGTTCGCCATGGAAAGATCCACCATTTTCAATCTATTAATAGGTAAACCATCTATAAACCTATGGGCCATCTATACCATGGCTATGTTAAATAACCATCTATTTCTATGGGCCATCGACAAACCATGGCGAACTGTGAATGTCATAACCAGGTTGGGTAACAAAAAAAAGAACCATCCAGCCATCCAATGAACATCTGCGTATCAGATGCACTGAACCCTGCACGGGTTACCCGGATAGTCTCCAAGGATTTCATCTCCCCAAAAAATTTAAACCACCCGTCATTTATGTCTATATTCCCATGGTTTTGGTGTTAAATACCCTATAATTCATTGGTAGATCCCCATTTATAGATGATGTTTTTTGGGATTGTGAAGAAGAGCGTTCCCAGCTCATGGATCAAAGACGAATCATCAACCAATCATCAGCCAATCGTGACATGTTCTTATTCATGTGTCTTGTAAACTTCTCTATAGCAATCCCCAAGAAGATCGAAAGGGTTCAATGAAGTTCAATCTGTCACTATATTCACTAATTTAGTAGAAGCTCACATGTCCATCTTTTTGAGCTTGGTACAGGATCAAGTCAATGCTTTTCCAAATTCAGAATCCCAGAGACTTGAAGATGCCTCGGTCGCAACGTGATGTATCGCAAAATGTCAAGCGGATCTCTGTCAAGTGGCTCAGTTTCCCTCCGTTCTTCGAAGATTTTGCATGATTCCGTGATATATATAAGTTATTTAAGCATATGCTTATATATATATGTATATATATAATATATATATATATATATGGGTGTGTTTGAAAATGATGCCCCCAAAGAGCCAAAGAGCCATTGAAATAGGGATCATGCTCGACCAATGGAGCAATGGATTTAGGGGTGCCCAATTTTCAGACAAATCTATATTGCAGTAATTTTCTGGTTGGTGGCTTCAACCCCTCTGAAAAATATGAAAGTCAGTTGGGGTTACTATTCCCAATATTATGGAAAAATAAAAAATGTTCCAAAACCACCAACCAGTTTTGGTAGATCATACAATACAGATAGATGGATAATGATGGATATTTTGTTGGAGGATCTGAGTTTTTGACCCATACGCAAGACACAAAACCTATCTAAATGGATCGAATTCTTATTCGACCTGAAGCTGGGATTCCCGCGCAGCAGATCAGTGCATCCAATCGTATAGATACCCTGCAAAAAGTGACAAATTCTTTGCTGGTGAACGTAGATATTCCCATTGATACCAAAGACTAGTATGGATTAAAGTATCCATGTAAGATTGACCTAGTTTCGTGATCATCCAACCTCGCAGACTGCGCAGATTCCAGCGGCTCCGCATGATCAGATCGTCCGAGGAATCTTCAATTCTGATCATCCAATTATCCAAACATCCGGTGTTGAGAAGTTTTCAGAAACCACCCTGGTTGGTGACCTACCCCTCCGAAAAATATGAGTCAGTTGGGATGATTATCCCAATATACGGACAAAATAAAATTCCATGTCTCCAAACCACCAACCAACCAGCACCTATTTTACAAACAAACTTCATTTACATTAGATTCAAACTCACAAAGAAATGCACTCGAACTCTCCGCTCAGACCGACCCCTCGGACGACCGCATTATGTCTGATCTCACCATACCGCTCTCTTGTGAAGCGAAGCATCGCGAGGTTTTGGAGAGCGGTTGAGAGGTCCGAGATTTTTTTTTGCAGAGGAAAACTGGTTATGGTGGTTGAAAAACAATCTTGAAAAATATGAGTCAGTTGGGATTACTATTCCCAATATATGGAAAAAATAAAACTCATGTTCCAAAGCACATAGGAACTAAATGGTGGTTGACCTACCCCTCTGAAAAATACGAGTCAGATTGGATGATCATCCCAACTATTGGGGAAAATAATCCATTCATGTTCCAAACCACCAACCGTTAGGAAACATTGGGAAAAATTATGCTTTTCCTGGTATATGATTAAAATGATTAAAAGGGTTTCTTGATGTTTCTTGTAAGTTTTTACCTCTTCATCCAGTACGGGGACAATGTGCAACCAATGCTTGTCCAATACTGCCAATACTCTACCATTCACTCTTCGGTAGCGGAAATTGACGGCCAAAACCAAAACCTCGTATTGAGGCATTGTCAGCATAACATTCAACCACAAAACATATAACCCGCATTAAGCCGCAGTGGGCGTGTGGATTCTATCACAGAAGTTCCCTTTTCAGTACAGTAAATCAATGCTTCGCCTTTGAAATATCTTGAGCCATGTGCAGTTATGGCCATGGCTACCAGTTATAACTGGTTATTTCTATGGGATTATACATTCTATAAATGGGGTTTTGGTAGTACTTATAACTGATTTTTTTTTCGTGTTCAAGATACCTCCTACAACTTGGGTTCAGCCACATCGCGATGAGTTCAACTGGTCAACATATGGGTCAAACATACTGACAGCTGCACCGGGAACAAAAAGATCCGAAAAGGTGAGAACGTGAAAAATCCTACTAACCTCTGGTAATTTAACATAGCTATGGAAAATCACCATTTATAGTGAGTTTTCCAATTAAAAATGGTGATTTTCCATAGTTACGTTAGTTTACCAGAGGGTAAGATCCGAAAAGATGAGAACGTGAAAAATCCTACTAACCTACTGATGTGGGTTAGCCACATGGTTCAAACACGGTCATTTTTACCATCCATTTTCCTGGGAATGGTAAACATATCACCTATAAAAAAATGGTGATGACTGGGGGATGGTGCAAATGGCATTGTGAAAAACCCACATTAGTGGCAAACGACTTTTTACATCTTTCTTGTTGGGGGGGTTCTATAAACAGCAGATGCGGCATGGTCAACACATGGTATGTGGGCTATGGTCATCCATAATAGAAACTCTTACAATGGGTATGTGAATCTTCATGAATGGATTGCTACCATCCTCCAATATGGATAGAAAATCCAACTTTTCACCATAATGGATTCTCCTTCCAAATCTTCATGCCAATCTTCCGGAATCTCTTCATGCCAAAGCGCGCTCACAGCCGCCCTGTCACCTTTGGTTCCATGCTTTGACGCTTCGCCGCCAACGTTTTTCGACAAGTGGTGGTCCAAGACCTGAGCCTTAGTCCTTTGAGATCACCATGAGAATCAAATTAGTACAATGTGGGGCCCTCCGGCACGTGATGTGAATGTTGGTTTGTAAACCCCATGAATACGATAGTGAAAAAAGATGTTATAAGTATCATAAACCATAGTTGTTGCAGTTATAAACCAACTTAGCTATCGTTTGGAGGCCCCACATTGTAGAAAAAAACCCGTAGCTTCTGGTAAGGAAACAGAATTCACCATAAATCAAACCAAAAATCATGGTTGATTCCATGAAATTCACGAATTTGTTGATACAATCACAGCATCTATTGGGACGGGGGCATTTATCCTATAGTAAATACTAAAAATTAACCACTAACTATTCACTAAAAGGATGTTGTGATCAAATTTGGTACCCTCTTGCGATCTTATAACTACTTATAATAGTCTTATAATATCAAGATTATATATCAACATATTGTATATAATATCATTAATCAATCTTATAAATGATTCTTGCCCACGAACGAACATCACAATCCGAAGATACCAAAATCTGGATCATCCTGAATAGATATGGAATCCCATTTCTAAGCCCTCGATTCAATCGTCAGAAATGGGTAGCAACTCCAAAAACGATGGAATTTGGTAAAATCCTATGAACATGATCATAATTCAGGGTTTCTATCTAAAAATTGGAGGTTGCTATAGATGATCTCGAAAATCGGGGTTTCAAATTGGCCTATCCCCGAAGCTGAAAAAAACAGTTGCAAAAGTGATGCTCAGTGGATCCCCACTTGTGGCAAGCATAATTCAGTGAATTAAATCGCCAAATTAAGTGCTTCAATCAGAATTTTGAGTTGGTAAATCACCATATATTTAGTGGTTACCCTCTGGTAAATGAACATGTTGACCCTGAATCCATAGCCTAGTTTTAATGGAAACTAATCTTCCAACCCCAACAACTGCCAGGGTCTATGTTAATTTACCAGAGGGTAAATTCAAGTAGCCTTCACCAAGGCTTAGTAGCTTTGCAGCTCCACAACTCCCCCTGGAACCACAAGGCGATGGCAGCGCGGCAGCGCGCCTACTTCGTCGTGCCCAAAAACTGGGTGTGGTGAAAAATCTCGTCCCAACCATCTGAATGTCAGGGCTATATGGAAATGCAATGTCTTTATACATATATAATATATTTTTATTATACAATATATATATATAATATTATACAATCATAAATATATGATGAATCATAGATTATCCATGCACATTTACATAACATTTACTTACCAATGGTCTTAAGGATGTAGACGTGCTATAGATCCACGTTGAATTCCACGAATCAATTCGAATCAAAGTGGTGTCAAATTCTGATCTTGGGAGATGTCCCTTTCGGAAAATCTTCTGTCTGGGTGATCCAAAAAAAAACATGGGTGACCCAAAATTACAATATCCTATTCATATGGTAACCTATATATATATAGTTATCATAGTTCAACTAATAGTTAATAATATAGTAAGTATTATATATATATAACTATAGTTATATATATATAGTAACCTGGTTGGTGGTTGACCTACCCGTCTGAAAATGATGGAGTTCGTCAGTTGGGATGATGACATTCCCAATATATGGAAAGTCAAAAAAAATGTTCCAAACAACCAACCAGATATCCTATTCATATAGTAACTATAATATCCAAACTATTTTTGTTTGGGCTGTTTTGATACATTGTAGAAACTATTAGAAACTATATTGGATATCCAAAAGACTAGTTTTTTTTTTCATATAGTAACTGTATCCAAACTTTTTTTGAAACTATCCTATCATGTTTAGGATGACCCATTCTTGAGAAACCACCATTCGATTGTGGACGTTCCTCTCTACTCTGCCAAACTGCCAAATGGATTGCGAGGCTGCACCGCCATGGTGCGCCTCTCGAAATCTAGACTGGCAGATTTCTAATGTGGCATATCCAGTGTTGATCAAAATACCCTCTGGTAAACTAACATAGCTATAGAAAATCACAATGTTTAATAGGTAAACCATCTATAAATGGGCCATTTTCCATAGCTATGTTAGTTTACCAGAGGGTATATCAAAATGATTGGAGTAGAGTCCTGTGACCTAAAAAAAACACGACCTAAATTAGCACTATGCACAAACAATTTCTGACCTATCATGACGTGGGAGGGCCATCTTGGGTGTACTAACCGGGATGGAGCATCAGAACATATCAGAACCATGTCACAAAATGCTGCAACACACCCATCGTCACGCACAGCGCGCGCCGGGCATCGCTCTCAAATGCTGGTTTCCACGTTGGGTGTCCTCGGGAACGCACCAGAGGCATACAAAAACCCCCTGGAGAGATGCCCAAACCATGGGTTTGTCAACACTGGGGACGCTTGGAACGGACTATATATTTTGAGTTTCCAAAATGTTCAAATCCATTTGGGCTCGTCTTCACAAAAATTCGGCGCAGAATGATCCGTAGGTAAAATTCCAAACAATTGTTTGCCGTATTGCTCATTAACCCATGCGTCTTGGACATTTGGACACGAAAAACCAGCATGAAACGGCCCAAAATAGGAAAAAATCGTTACCAGGTTTTTTTTCCAATGATTTGAATGTATCTGCGTGTTTCCGAGAATCTGTTTGGCAAACTGCACTCATGGTCTTAAATATATAAACACAATAACAACATGAACACACAGGGTATTTACTTGCCAGCAAACAAAAATGGTTTCGAACTGGGAATTGCGTGTTTGTGGAAATACACAGGTCCCCGTTGTGAAACAAAAAAACACATGTTGAGAAACGATAGTTCGTAGCTGATTGAAAGATAGTTCGTGGCCGCGTTCAACACGTAGGCCGACATGACCAAACAAACAACGCACACACAATTGTGCATCCAAATTGGCATCTACGGAAATAAACGATCTTGAAGGTAAACCATTCGATGTTGATGTTTTTTTCAACTTCTGTTACATTACAAAGAACTGTGCCGCCCCCGTTCGATAGCTAAGTTGGTGAACATAACTCGAATAACTATGGTAAACATGGTACGCAAATAACTACTTATAACATCATATAACGAACTAGTTACTGGGGCGAATCTAAACCAACGTTCACATCACTGGGGGGCCTCACATTGTATAATATGTTTTTCAATTTTAACAGCTGGTAAAAGAACCAATGGCTCCACAGCAAATCAATGGCATGGAGTGTTCAATCAGCGATGGATGTGGATAGTAAATTCTCGAAAGATGAACCATAATCCCCAATCTTGCTGGTAAAATTATGTTTGTTCAAAGCGCTACAGAAGTTACTACAAACTCACACTTTCAAACAAGATTGTCCCCCAAATATCCCCATGTTTGCCATCCATTGGTTGATATAATCATTGTCTCTACTAAAATTGCCATTTGTATCCATTTGGGAGCGATAAAACATGTTCAGGAAATGTCCCATTATATCCCTCTTCTATCCCGATGAAATGGCTGGTTTAAAGTTTAATCCCATTTTTTCATGGTAATGTCCAATTTCCTCAAAAAAACCATTGTAAACCATTTTGCATCAGCTTTTAAGTGTCCCACAGCTGGTATCCCCCAAAAAACATGAAAAATCAATGTGTTTTTTTAAAACCATATTTAAAACACATATATCACATGATGAGCTTTTCTCTTAACCACCATAAAGCGCTACTATCTACTGTAGTGCTTAACGGTTCGTAATTTTTTCCCAGGACGGCTTCGCCCGAAATCGCATCGCTTCCAAGGCGCTTGTGCTTGTGGACTCGATGCCTGGGAAAATCTCCATCGTTTAAAACACACAACGACTTCGCCATGGAGATTTTCCACAAAAGAAATATGGAGGTTTATTACCATGTTTATATAATAGGTAAATCATCATAAACCATCTATAATATTATCATTTATAGCTGGGAAAATCATCTAGATTTTTTTGAGAATTCTGTTTTTAGAAACTCAGATGTAGCCTCTGGTTATGACTGTTACATTTCGCCATGGTTTGTCGATGGCCCATAGGTTTATAGATGGTTTACCGTTCTTAATAGCATGGTGATTTTCCATGGCGAACTGTTAGTCATAACCAGATGGTAAATGATGAACGATTCTAGTTGATACCAGTTGATCATCGATATTTTTTGGGGGAACTTTTGGGGGAACTTTTGGGGACTTTTGGGGAAAAAAGCTCGATACGTGGAGGTAGATTTTCCAGATAATCTAAGGGTCATATCATAATTGCAGGGTGGTGACCCAGAACGGTGAAGGGTGAACGCACACCGTGGGCAAATCAGGGGATTCTGCAGATTCTCAATTGCTGTGTTTGATGACCGGAGGGTATACTCCGCTAAAATGGTCCATGGTTAAAAAATGACCCTTTGTGTATCACCAAAAATTGCGGCCGCGGTTGTCTCTCAGCAATCATTCGGTAGTGATGTTTTGGAATTCCCAGTGGATTTTGGGGCCCCTGAGACCCCAGACATCAATGACATCAACGTATGGGGAGATAGCCAAATGGAATTCAAGAAATTTGAGCAACACTAGTTTAGATTTAAAAAAAATGTCGGGCCACTACCTGACATCGCTTGATGTTACATGTGACATCTACTCGAACATGCTTAGTGGATCACATCACATGGTGAAGTCTGAGAAAATTTGCCAACAAATGCCAACAGTACTTCCAGAATAGATTCCCAAAACATGTTCTTCCCACACATTAGGTTCATACTGCCCTGACCATCTCCTATTGTCACTAGCTGGTACTGAGATGTACTCGGTATTCCGAACGCTTTACTTTGGGGATGGGTTAAGATTGCAGCCCAGCGATGACAATCCCTTGAAATGTTGGGCGCGGTCCTTGACTGCATGTACCGCTGTATTCAAGTGGCAAGATGTACCCTCTGGTAAACTAACATAACTATGGAAAATCACAATTTTTTATGGGTAAACTCAGTATAAATGGCCATTTTCAATAGCTATGTAACACATTACCAGAGGGTACCCTGCGATGAACAAATTCACATCATATCACCTTGAACTTCAGGATATTGTGGCTGGATTTTCAGCTAGCTGTAGCTTGGAAGGATGACGTTCTGAGATTGAGGTACCCTCTGGTAATTTGTTGCATAGCTATTGAAAATGGCCATAGAAATAGTTGATGTTCCCATTAAAAATGGATAAAAATAATGATGTTCCATAGTTATGTAAACGTTTACCAGAGGGTAGTTTCATGATGATATTTGAGAGGTTCCGGAGGTTTTTGGGACCCCAATAAATACTCATAGATCCACTACATTTGCTTGGCGCGTAGGCGTAGTCATAGGGAATGATTATCCATTATTGAACATGACAGTATCACTATTGTTGTTGTTCTTGATTGTTTGTTTTTACTTAAGTTATTATTTACCATCATACACGATTCCTAGTGTGGAAAAAATCCTAAAATCCAGTTGGTAGATGGTAAATATCCCATTATTTATAGGGTTTCAGTTTCAACCTTTCAACCATCCCTACGGTGGTGCAGGATTTCGCAACCATCCACAGTAGCATTACCTAAGACTATTGACGGAGGATCCTCCTTGGGAAGTGATGAAACAAACCCTGCGTGAGTCTCCAAAAAAGTGGGTTTCTCCCAGTTTCTCCCATTGATCAACGGGTAAAAGCTTCGTTTTTTGCAACCAGATCCAATTTCTTGGGATGTTTTTTCAGGCTTTTGGACTTATTTCAGGCAATCTAGTTAACATAAATCACTTAGAAATCATCTAGAAATCACCTAGAAATCACCTAGAAATCACCAATTCCACCCCAAACCGACCCAACGCGCCAGAACCTCCAACCTGCATAAAACCAAGGGACTCGTGGCCTTTCATGGCCACGTCCTGCCATGAAGAATGCCATTTGCACCACGGGTTTTTATAAAACCATGAGTGGTATTTATGCGAATTAATGGTTACAATGGTCGGATCATTAATGGTTATAAGCACAATGTAATGTTTTGCATTACCTGTTTGGTTTTAAGCCATTTAATTAATGGTTACAATGGTATATGTTGATGGTTATTAATGGTTATAATATGTTACAATGGTATATGTTGATGCTTATTAATGGTTATAATATGTTACAATGGTATATGTTGATGCTTATTAATGGTCATTAATGGTTATGTAAACCATGCCAAATTTCACCTTCGCAGTTTTTCAAAGCGTTGTCATGAATGGCGTATAATCCTCAGAGATGAACACGACATGTATTTTGGTATCAATCGATCTTAGCATATCTCGGTGCATACTTCCTTGGTTGGTGGTCTGGCTACCCCTCTGAAAAATGATGGAGTTCGTCACTTGGGATGACTATTCTCAATATATGGAGGAAAAAAATGTTCCAAACCACCAACCAGATCCATTCGATCCCATTGTTTTTGGTTGCCTACATTAGCTAGTCCTCATTGTTTTTTGGGTGTTCCCTTCTCATTTTTCCAAACATAATCCCGGGAAGGGCCTCTAACCATATATGATGATTGTATATGTATAACAAAATGTGTATATATATATATTATACACCCTCTGGTTATTTAACATAGCTATTACTATTACAGATTATGTGGGTTATTTAACATAGCTATGGAAGCCATGGCCCATGTCCAGATGATTTTCCCATTAAAACCTCCATGTATAATGGGTGTTCCATAGCTATGTTAAATAACCAGATGGTATATGTATATTCATACACAAAATCATCTGGTTATGGTTATTTAACATATAGCTACATTCCCACCAGATGGTTATGTTAAATAACAACCATACACAAAACCAATATGAATCAACAATAAATGGTTGGGATATGGTGGGAATACCAGCAAGTGTCAGAGACTCATGGGAACTTAGAGAGATTTGCTCATTGTGAAACCTTTGTGAAAATGGTTGGTGGTTGACCTACCCCTCTGAAAAATCATGGAGTTCGTCAGTTGGGATGATGAACTTCCCACTATATGGACGGAAAGTCATAAAAAATGTTCCAAACCACCAATCAGGAAACTGTTGGGTGAGTTTCACTAATCTAACTAGTTCGACAAACCGCGCGTTTGGGGGTCCCTTTCTGCCCATTTCAATGCAAACAAATGCTGCAAACTTGAGCAATATCAAAAACCTGTTTGAAAATCACCAAACAGCATGTTGGTCAATAGGGTTTCCCATGATTGATTTTGATTACACTAATATGCAAAGGTTAGTTTCAGCCCCTTTTAAACATCGATCAACCAACGATGCGTTATCAATTATAAATGATGGATACAGCAATCACCTGCTACAAAGCCCACACCAGTATGATCATCAACCAAGTGTTTTTGGTTGCAACTGCTCAGATCACTTGAAACATCTTGAAACAAATAGCTGGAGAACTTGTACCAAATCGAAAGCCTGAACAGTTTTATCATGTTGGAATGATTTCAATGATCTTACCCATCATTCTTCATGACGTCGCGACGTGAGATCAAAATTATCCAAATATATTAACCAAATCATACATTGCTTGATATAGTATTTACCAATTGGTCATACTTCATATTTGAGATCAACATATTCCAAACATATTGACCAAATCATACATTGTTGCAATGTTTAATCAGTTTAATCCCATCAAATGATGATAAAATCCCATCATTTTACCCATGGTTTTACCCATGGTTTTACCCATGTTATCAGATTCAAATCCCTCATGAAGTCCCATGATTCCATTGATACCCCGAAAAAAATGGGGAAAATCGATCCCCACGAATTTTCTCACCACCGTTTTCTTTTGTTCCATGGTTGTTTCCATGTCTTTTGCATGGTGTTTCGTGTCTTTTGTTTCCATGTTCTTCCATGGGTTTTTCCATGTTTTAACATGTTTTTTTTTCCATGTTTTACCATGTTTTTTTCCATGTTTTACCAGGTTTTTTCCATGTTTTCCCATGATTTGTCCATGTTTTCCCATGTTTTTTCCATGGTTTATCCCAGTTCAACCGCTCCATCTTTTTTTGCCCCCCTGAGGACGGCACCCTCGTGATGAAGTCTGGCGAATCGGATGTGGGATGATCCAAGTGAAAAAAAAATGTATAAGCACAAACACAATATAGTATATCTTATATATATATGTATATCCATATATAAATATATAATAATATATAATAATATGTATAGATATACATATTAATAACAAGATGATATGTATATATATATACATGTATACATATATATATACAGAATACGATCTATACAGTAATACAAACATGTTGTTTTCCCTGGTGAGAAACTGGGGTAAAACTTGTGGCCATCCAAATGTGAGGAGATGGCCTCGGGGAAATCGACATCGGACTAGGTGATTTTCGGACCATGCTTAATTACCCTCTGGTAATTTAACATAGCTATTGAAAATAACCATTTATAGTTGATTTTCCCATTAAAAATGGTGATTTTCCATAGTTATGTTAATTTACCAGAGGGTACCATACCTACCCCTCTGAAAAATATGAGTTCGTCAGCTGGGATGATGAAATTCCCAATCTATCGGAAAGTCATCAAAAATGTTCCAAACCACCAACCAGATTACCAAAGGTTACTAAGAGAAGGATCCGAATTCCCTGAACTGAAGGGATCTTACAGGGACTGAAGATTTTGCTGGGATGCGGATGTTGCAGGTGTAAGAAAAAATCCAACCAGCAGCAGAACTATAATCGTATGATTGGCGTATGTCAAACAACCGACAAGAAAGACAATTGAGGGAAGTGCAATGGTTGACAAAACAGAAATCAGCACCTTTTTCTGTACCAAGGGGGTGCATTTTTGAATCTGGGACACCAAATACCATCAGAATTAAAATAGAATTTGTATGATTTTGTCATTTGGACTTCGAGATGGCATAGAAATGGCTTATAAAATGGCTGCATTACCCACTCCTCCTATTCTCATCTATTAGTGTTCGAAGTTTACCAAGTGCCATTGTCATAAGTTCAGCTGTCCCGTTGTTTCTAAGTTTCCCAAATTTCCTCAGTTGTCCAGTTGTTTCCTACCCTCTGGTAATTTAACAGTGCGCTATAGAAAATTGCCCATAGAAATCGTTGATTTCCCTATTAGTTTCGGTGATTTTCCAGTTTGCAAACTGTAAACGTTTACCAGAGGGGAACTACGGTGGATGGAAGAAATCCTGCACCAGTTGATAGGTGGTTTATCCCATGGTTTGAACCATCCCTACGGTGATTTATCGGATTTCGCAAACATCCACAGTATGAAAAAACTATGGAACAATGGGTAAATCAACGATTCCTATGGCATAACTATGGAAAATCACCATTTTTCATGGGAAAATCCACTATAAATGGCCATTTTCCATCGGTTTGTTCGTTAGTGACCAGGAAAACCCCAACGTTTTGGGCCACGGGCCCACGGACGCACCTTTGCCCTCAGCCAAGCTCTCGAAGTCGCTTCGGATCTCCTCCTGGTTAATTTACTATTTATAGTGGTACTATAACATATGGGTGTATATATATATATATAATAGTATTTTGTAATTTATAATTTATAATATAGTAAGAGTAATATAGTATATAATATAGAAATATAGTAATATAGTAATATAGTAATATAGTAATATAGTAATATAGTTTATAGATTCTGGTTATAGCCAACTATCTGGGTAAATTATAATAATTCACTAACCTGAATAGTTCGGCCACTTGGGGATGATTCCCCTTACTAACCATGATTCCAGGGTTCGGGAGAACAGTGAGGTCGTTACAATTTACCCAGATATGCGTATATGTATATAATAGTAATATAGTAATTTACTAATAGTACACTATGATATTAAATGTTGTACAGTAAAATTGCTATATGTTTATATTAAATTAGTGTATCAAACTATTATATATATAGATATATAAAGAGATTTTTTAAAATAGGGATATGGGCATATTCATTGGATATAGACTAATAATATCTTTACTAATCTGATATTTCAGGCACCATAGTTGGTTCTTTATTGGGGCCCAGAATTTTCTAAGTTGTCTTATAACTACAATAACTGTGTGGTTTGCAGGGGATATATCAAACTTATTTGATGGGCATATAAATCTTTGGGGGCCCTTTGTGTAGTAATGTTATAGATTGATGTAGTTGTACCCCAATATAGTAATGTTACTTGGATGTACATACTATTAGATACTATATATATAGTGACTGGCGAAAAACAAAAAATATCACCATGTCAGTAGGATGTTACTGTTTCTATCGTAATTTGGGGGTTGCTATATAGTAGTGGTTTACCCATGTTTACCCAAATATAGTCTGTTACTTAGATGTAGACATGTAATTGTATACCATTGGATACTTAGATAAACATAAACGCAATAGAATGATAACCCAATGGGGCAAGAAAAATGAGTATGCAAATATGTAATGATTACAATAAAAGCACTGTGGAGTTCTGATGCAAATCGCTGAGTTGTACCCTATCTAAGTTTGTAAAAGGGTATAATCGTGTGCATAACCCAGTTAGAAACCAGATATATAATATCTCCATGGGCCATGTAAGTAATGTAAGTAATGTAAGTATGCCATTCCGGTTCCGATAGATACACTTGATAGACACATCTAAAACATGGCAATCAATGAGGGATCATCATTCCAAATGGAACAGGAAATTCCAATGTTTGAAACCACCAACCAATGATTTGGGTATGAACATCCAGCTTGAGAAACAAAGAAAAATGCCTGACATACATAACTATAATATGTGTATATGTGTATGTATGTATGTAGGTAGGTAGGTAGGTAGGTAGGTAGGTAGGTAGGTATGTCTGTCTGTGTGTGTGTGTCTGTATGTATGTATGTATGTATGTATGTAGGTAGGTAGGTAGGTAGGTAGGTAGGTATGTATGTCTGTCTGTGTGTGTGTGTGTATGTATGTATGTATGTATGTATGTATGTATGTATGTATGTATGTATGTATGTATGTATGTATGTATGTATGTATGTATGTATGTATGTATGTATGTATGTATGTATGTATGTATGTATGTATGTATGTATGTATGTATGTATGTATGATGTATGTATGTATGTATGTAATGCAATGCAATGTAGTGCAATGAAATACAATGTAATGTAATGTCATGTAATGTCGTGTAATGTCTGGTATGGTATGGTATGGTATATGTATGTATGTATTGGTATATGTATGTTGTATGTATGTATGTATGTATGTATGTATGTATGTATGTATGTATGTATGTATGTATGTATGTATGTATGTATGTATGTATGTATGTATGTATGTATGTATGTATGTATGTATGTATGTATGTATGTATGTATGTATGTATTAATGTAATGTATGTATGTATGTATGTATGTATGTATGTATGTATGTATGTATGTATGTATGTATGTATGTATGTATGTATGTATGTATGTATGTATGTATGTATGTATGTATGTATGTATGTATGTATGTATGTATGTATAATATATATATACATATAAAGGGGCTTACCGTATACGGGCGGATCATCCAAAAATCGAAGGTTGATAAGTCCGATTCTATCTGACATGCCAAAAAGCACTCATGTAGAAGTCATCCCAAGTGCAGTGGGAGGCTACAGGTTGCATTGGCAAAGGCAGAGTATCAAGCATCTAATCCGTTGAGCAATATGGATAAGTTGCATCATCTTTACTATACTATACCGAAGAGAAAAGCTTAGTTTCAATCTTTCCGTCATAGATCTCCATCAAGGAATCTCAGCACATATTAGTGCTGTCCAAAGATGGGGCACCAGCAATAAAACAGGGGCTGATTTTTCTGCATGTGTCCATTCAATTTGCCGTATAATTAGTGGTATACCAGCGATTTCTGGACAAAGCCCGGTGCAAAAAAAATCATATTACATCCAGTAATTATATGTAATTAGTCCAGTAGTCTTATCACAGTACATCACCATTTTTAGCGGGTTACAAGCCCAAGTTACGAACATCAGCCGGACCATGTCCATTGGGAGGTAAATTGGCTCGTTCAAAAAGGGCGTCCCAGGCTGGGTTGATCATAAGTTTCTGGAAACATCCCAGGACGTAGGTTTAACACATACCATGACCAAGGGTTTAATTTAGGTATAAAAGGCTGGGACTTTTTTTTGTAATAGTGGCTGGGTGCCACTATTGTGGGTTGACAAAAAAAATGCCAATTAATAATATATAGTAGGTAGTAAACCACCAAGCCACTGATGTTTTCTGGGCAAGTTATTAAAAAATATTTGTGAAACCGGAAATGTTTGTGTCCTGTTTGGGATGATCCCCCGGCCACTAACGTTGTGTGCTTGCTATACCCTCTGGTAAACGTTTACATAGCTATAGAAAATCACCATTGTTCATGGGAAAATCCACTATTTCTATGGTCATTTTCAATAGCTATTTTGACATAACCAGAGGGTAATTTGCTCAGATATTTGGGGGTACTGCAACGGACAAACCTCAATCCATACGGAACACGTTGTCCCCACCAGCTCCGACCCCGGCTCCAGCGTATCACGATCAACTTTTCCAGTGCGCAACAGTTGGATCTGCAAAAACTCGGACGAGTCAATCTTGGCGTCCTGCACGGACTGACCATCGCATGGACATAGAAATCGGACATAAAGGCCATAACTAAAGGATATGGTGTAAGCAGAAAAAAATCCGGATATTTCAATGGGCAAAGAAGAGTTATCTGTCGTTTTTGGATATTAAAGAATATGGGTACAGTATCGACCAGAAATACGGATTTACTTTTGAGTTGAACAAATGGTTGATCCAGAAATTAAGCACGAGTTCCTTGGTCAAAGGAATCGAGAGAGCGATGGCAAATCATCCTCCTATCTTGAATGGCATATCGATGATACCTACATTACCCACGATTACATGCATATATGCATATATATATATATATTTATATATATATATGTTCATATGTTCCCACAAACAGGTGCACACTCACCTGAATATATAATAACATGTAGTAATCACCACAGATAGAAAAGAAATCGGTCATAAGTTTCTCATTTTTTCAGTAGAATGTGACTTTTCTGTATTTAAAAAGGGTGGATCTGTGCACATCATATGCCATTTCAATCAAAATCATGAATGCCTTCCACGTAATGTCACCCTGACCTCCTACATGAAAGGGCCATATGGGGGCTATGTTCAGAACCCTCTGCCGCCACAATAAAAAATGGCTGGTGAATAGGATTTACCACCATTGTGATAATACTAATCCCCAATATATTGGATATGTTACACTGTTACACCCTATAATCATCACGCAACAGAGGTTTTGATACTGCTCATTTAGTACTAGGTGGATCTAGGGGGATGGGATTACTCAATCCTACAGACCGGGCAACAATATTTGGTGTTGGCTGGTTTGTATATAACCCCATTTTGTAGCTTTGCCAATATCCCCAATCTTCTTCCATAATAATTCAACATTTGATTCAGTTGATTAATGGTTAGTTGGATTCTATATAACACCACATTGATATGTTTTCCTCCATTTATGGGCTTGTACAGAATGTAAACAGTTGTAAACTGGGGTTATATGGATTTATGCAACTAGACCCCAATTCGTTTTCTGTATTATATATATACATATTATTTATATATATGTGTAATATATATATAATTCCCCATTATATAATGAACTGAACCCAAGGTTGACAGCCGTCCGGCGGATGCCCAAGAATGTGCTCGGCAAAGACCATCTGGGCGGATCGAGCCGTGATGATTTAGGGCAACGGAGAAACCCCGGAAACAGGGAAACAAATACAAGCCCTGTGGATCCACGTACCTTCTTAGGAAGTGTTTGGGGTATGATTTGGAGGGTTAAGTACCTTCTCAGAAACTGTTTGGATCCATAGGGAAGTAAGAATCTCGCCAAACTAAAAGGTTTGTCCAGCAAAAAATGTCGCTTTGCCCAAGAATAAAGCGATGTACCCCATGCGACACAAGGTAGAGCTGCATGACAGCATCCAACGTCAGTTCGTTGTTTAAGAGATTGAGAAAGAATTCCTGTTGAGCAGCAAACCCAGCCATGTTTGGAGATAAAACACCCATATTCATACAAAAAACAGACTACACATGACTAATTATACATATAGAATTGATGATTGTTTGTGAAAAAACTCCAGTTTTGGCTGCTTCAATATCCATTTTCTTAAAAATTTCCAACAGACAAACATCTCCCAGATTCTTCCAACGCCTCTGCACTGGTAATCCTCTCAGTCATCTTCAAGTGATTCTGGCGACCGCTTGGACGACATCGGTCAGCACGGCCGATGTCAGGGACCCCGCTGGTGAACTATGGTTTATGGTAGATATGACCATGATATAACTATAGTTAATGGATGTTCATGGGGTTTAAAAACCAACTTATAATGGAAGAGAATTTTCCACCTGGTAAATTAACATAGCTATTGAAAATATGGCACATAGAAAGTTCGTTGATTTACCTTTTTTTAACATGGTGACTTTCGATAGCTATGTTAGTTTACCAGTTGGTTCAATGAATTTCCCAGTTTTTTTTTGCTCCAGTTAGTTTGGGGATTTCCCAGCTAGCCATGTATTTTTACCAGAACGTACCCTGTGTTACGGCTTGTGCCTGTTTCTCCATGTGCTTGTCAACCAAGATCTCGGCAGGTCGCGGGGGCTCGTCGGTTGAGGTTATCGGAGTTATCGGAGCTCCAAGGCACAACGTTGGACTAAGCGTAGCGGCGTTGCATGGACCAAAAAGTTCGCCAACTGATTTGTCAAGGCAAACCGATGATTACCAGGCATTAATAGATATTGTATATATATATATTGTATATATATTGTATATATATATGAGTTGTACTTAAAGTTCATGCAAGGTCGACCCAACGATTACATACCAGGCGCTTGTCAAAAAAGGGAACAAAAAAAGGGGTTCAAGAGTTGATTGAGTTGACTATATCCGACCGACGTGAGTCTGATTTGTTACAGTTTGCTATGGAAAATTAGAAAATGGCCCGTTGAGTTCGTTGATTTACCTACTAAAAGTGGTGTTTTTCAATAGTTATGTTAGTTTACCAGAGGGTAAATCCAGTGATGAATCATAATTGTGCATATTTAAATTGCCATTTTGATTGTATACCCCATTTTCTGACAGACCCAAATTGATGCTGTTGGTTCGTGATATCCCACTACATACCCATTACAGTACATCACCATTTATAGATGTTTTTCCAATGTTATCCCATGATCAATGATTAAGCCTTATATATATATATATCCCTATCAAATAGTTGGTCCCTATGTGTGGTGGTCAATTCCACATTGTATATATATACATACACATATATATATATAGATAAAACCATCCTGCAGTAGATAGACTATGGATATTTCAAATATATTCCCTTGATCGTGATGTTTTATTGACATGTCCATATCCAAATTAATATATGAGTAATATGTGTCAAACAAATACCCAAATGTACATACATATATGAGCCATGGTCAATATTCACTATATGGTTGATGGTCATCCCATCCATAATAAGGATCCAAAAATAATGGTTATTATAAATCCCTATGAACCATTGGATGACTAGCCCCTATTAATGGTTATTAACCATGAGTATTGACCACAGCTCATATATATATATATGTTGTGTCTTTAATAGTCAGAGTAGTCTCCAGGATGACTCCGGTGTCTTCAAACGCGGTGTTTGATTACCGCACGGTATCGCAATTAAATTGTATATCATTAAATCATCATTGAATCATCATTAAATCAACATTAAATATCATTAAAGATCATTAAAGATCATTAAATCACCATCAAATCGCCATTTTTCTTAGTCAAATCCCAAAGTCACCATGAATTCGCGCCAAAACCCCAGGCCAAGACACCCCTGCCACCCGGCCCAAGGCCAAGGCGAAGATTGGCACCTCGGAGAGGACGACCATATTGAAATATGTAGATATAATATTATATATAATGTGACGTATAAGATCAGGATAAACCATGTATAATATGTATACATATATATATATATATCATATATATATATATATCACTATCAAAAAACTGATACACCAAAAAATGATCAGGATAAGCCATATATATATATGTATCACTATATTTCACTATATAACTATATTTCACTATATATCACTATAGATATATAAGATGTATATAGTATATAGATTTTTATAAAAAGATCAATGATCAGGATATGTATATATAATGATCAGGATAAACGGATAAACCATATTTACATACATATTTAAGAAAAACAAAAACTATTTCTGTTGGTTCGCATTTTGGTACTGCTTCCAAGGAGTAGGAGCACTCCGCCAAGCTCAAGAGCCACAGCAAGTGCTTGATCGACGTCCCGCAGATTTGTGGTGTTTCGAGTGCCGAGCGCCACTTCTCGTCTTTACAATGCCTGCTTAGCCGATGGGCATTTGTGCCACACCAAAATACATTTGGCTCCGGCCAAATTACAGTGACATTGGTTCCGCAGCAGAATGCGCACCTTGCTTGCCCCACGCACATCGGCACACAATATAAATGATATCATTGGCGTCACTACCACATGAGGACATCTTGATATGCCAAATGAATGGGGACAAAAGCCTAGCAACATGGGAATAGGAGTGTTGTTGCAATTCACCCAGATATACTGGGGACGTAACCTACCATCGTACAAATAATATATAGGTAACAAATATATATTATGCATAAAGGGTGCTGTAAAACCAGCCATAATATGGAGATTTCCTGGAATATAATGGGATATATTATCATGTAATGAACATGTCCGACCAAGAAGATGCTATATTGGTGCGTCTGCACATGAGGTATACCATGGTATACCGTATACCCTCCCATATGGCAATGTTAATAGTTAAAAGTTGTGTCAGGATAAGTCGACAAACCGAACAATATCATAGGCAAATCAGAGCCAGTCTTACCCAGCAAAAAGAACAGCCGAGCAGTGTTCAAATCCCTCTATCATTCCATTATGGGTGGTTTGTAGGGATTCCCCGTTCTTGGGTTATAATAATCCCCAATATATTGGGTAGTATAGTCCCTTATGATCATCAACCAACCAGGGTTTTGAACAAGCATTGAACTACCAAAGCACGGCTGCCTCAGAAAATGGAAGGCGACAAAGAATAAATATGGGATATAAGTTGATATAAGCACTAAGTCAAGCAAGAGAGAACAAAACAATAGGGAAAACCAACACCGATATATGGAACTTGAAAACAGGCAAGCAGGAGTATTGCGTTGGATACACCAACAGCACTGATAAGAGATGTAGACACAAACATAAAGTATAAAAATGGCTGGTTTTAGGTACATAATTTGAAGGTACCTAGATAATTCTACCAGAAGCTGAATGGGTCAAGGCAACACAAGCTCTTTGAGGGTTTGTTGTCGTGTCTCCGTGACATGCAGTTGCAGAACCATCCAAATCGGCAGTTCATGCTTTTTTCCTTTTAAGAGATCCATAGATTATCTGAACAAACATGAAGCATGCAGAAAGAGCTTGACTTTTCAGCACCTGTTAACACTAGAAACCCATACAACAAAAATCAACAACTATAACGAAGGTGCCTGGTTCGTTCGCCAAGTTGGTCTTGTTCACAACATGGTGGGTACAGTATATCATCGAACAATAATTCAGGGGTTAGTGGAATGTTCCTCTTTAGTTCGATTTAGCCTCTGGTAAATTAACAGTTGGACCTTGAATCCATAGCCTAGTTTTAATGGAAACTAACCTTCCAAGCCCAACAACTGCCTGGGTCAAACTCTTAATTTATCAGGTATATCTTCCCATGAAAACCTCCCCTTGAAAAAGGGGATTTCCTATCGCCTTTAAAGGGGCTGCAGATGTCACTCGAGCTACCAAGGTGGTGGCCTCTGCAGTGATGTGAACGTTGGTTCACAAATTCGCCCCAGGAACTAGTTCGTTCTTTGCGTACCATGTTTACCAGTTCGTGAAATTGGAGTTATTAGTTCACCCCAACTGAACGCTATCGTAAACGGGGGCCCCAACTATAGATATACCGTGATATACCCATAAATCCAAGAAATTGGCCTAGTTATAAGCCAACAAATTGCAAAGAAACTAGGGCACCCTTGCCAGTACCATCTTGTACCTACAAGAACCTACAAGCATAGTGTAGTAAACCAGTTAATTGTATTAATGGATTGTTTTTTTCGGGAAAATTTTAACCGGAAAGCCCCATGATCCCAGGGAGCCAAGGTTCAGAAAAATCCCCATTCACTACCCATTCATGGTTGGTTCAGAATGGTTCACATTATGCCCGAAGCCATATATATATATAGTGTCGATATAGATATGTACAGTATATATTATATATTACATATAATATTTATATGTAGACATATATATATATACATATTATGTATATAGCCTCTATATCCTTATTGCATCCTCATTTTTTCCTCACAATCTTCGAACATCTGCCGCGTGGCTCCAAAGAGGCAATAGATACCCGTAAGGACCACATAATCGTCTGAAGCCTTGGACGGCACTGAATTTACCACTGGGATGGGGAAAAATGGGGGATGAAGCATTTCTTCATAGGATGTAGCCTCTGGTAATGACGTTTACAGTTCGCGAACTGGAAAATGGCCATAGAAACAGTTAGTGATAAATTATTGATTATGTTTTAATAATAGCAATAATTTATGATAAATCAATGATCATGTCTTCATATTTATCTATTAAACATGGTGATTTTCCAGTTCGCAAAACTGTAAATGTTTACCAGAGGGTCAATCAATCATTTACATCATGCCCCAGGAACCCATTGGATGGTTGGGAGCTTTTTTGGGATGTAACTGATGTTATGACCATCATGTATACATCAATATGGAATATCATAATGTTGATGTTACTATGTATATACCTATGGATTATCATAATTATAATATCCATAGTATCATATGTATCAGATGGAATAAATATGGAATACCATCATGTTAATGTGTTATTTACATGTGTTTGAACATAATCCAGGTCCATAGTATAATACATATGGAATGTCATAATGTAAGCATTTATTCATATGGATTCAACTGATTTTTCAGCAGTGAATGATGTGGTAAACCGGAGCGCCATAGTCACCATCAATATATGTTTATATAATATAACCATATATAACCAACCAACCAACCACCCAACCAACCAACCATGGCCGGGGATCATTTACATCACCCAGGTATACACAATAGCATACCCAAATTGTTTTTTGTTGACTGTGTTAAAAATAAAAAAAAAAAACATTTTTCTGCGCAACGCACCTCAGGAGTTTAGATTGACTCGAGTGTCAAGTGTGTGACTCAGTGACGTTCCATGTTGCTTGACTCAAGTGCTTGAGTCAATACAAGTACCCTCTGGTAAACTAACGTAACTATGGAAAATCACCATTTTTAATGGGTAAATGCACTATAAATGGCCATTTTCATTAGCTATGTTAGTTTACCAGAGGGTACCACTACTAGAAAGCACAAATAGCATAGCTCCGAATTCATTTGGCCTTAATGCCTTACCAGTTTTTCGTTCACTTGACTTTCCACTGTGCCTTACCGGGCACACTGGCAATAGCGCCTTTTGCACCGGGGATGAACAGCTTCGAAGCGCCGTGAAAGTGTCCCTTTTTCAACAGAAAAAAGGTGTGTTTTTATCATCACTCAATATCACTCATGTCCATGATTTTCATGAATTTTCATGAATTTTCATGAATTTTCCATGTATTCTCATGATATTCACACAACCCGTTAGCAGCCCAACTCATATCTAGACCCTCCCATGAGTTGAGGATTGGAATGGACGTGTTTTTTCCACGTGGTCCACGGATGTCCATGGGCTCGACCAATTGGTTTCACCCAGCAACTTCGCACACGGCCTGCAATCCAGCCGTGCTGCAGGCAGCCACCGCAAAGTAAATGCCCTCCAATTGAGCAGGGGATGACAATGTGTAGCATAGGTGGGTGAATATGTGTGTGAATATCTACATGTGTATATATATATATATTATACATATATATATATATATGTATGTATGTAGAGCAGCATCTGGCAAATTGTCCCAAGAATGCATAGTAAATTCAGACAGTACAGTTAGGAGGTTCATGAATTTCACCATAGATGTATGATGCAGGTTAAAGGAAACACCATTTTGCTGACAAGTCATAAAACTGAGGATATTGAGTTTTATGGACATTTATGGACTTGTCATAGCCTTTGAATTCATGGATATTTGAGGTTCATGACTGAGGCTATGACAAGTCCATTCTTTTCAATGACAAATCATCAACGCTTGTGTTTGGGTCTTCTCCGAGTTTAGTATCACTGTTCGAGTCAGATCGATGAAGGGTTCATTAAAGGTGGTGCCTCCTTAGTTATGAGTTTTATAACATTTTAAAACCACCACCACCACCATTACTATAGTTATTAATAACTGGTTGGTGGTTTCAACCCTCTGAAAAATATGAAAGTCAGTTGGGATTACTATTCCCAATAGATGGAAAGTCATAAAAGTCATGTTCCAAACCACTGGTAAACTAACGTAACTATGGAAAATCACCATTTTCAATGGGAAAATCCACTATTTCTATGGCCATTTTCAATAGCTTTTTGTATGTTTACCAGCGGGTATAATTTACCTGGAGCCAACCAACTGCGCTCCGAAGGGCCGGGCCGGCTCAGCCATTTCCCAAAACATCCCCCTAAAAATATCCCCATTTTTGGGATGATGTTCCCGTAAAGTCTCCAATTTTATGTCATAAACGTACATATTTCAGATGATATTCCATTTCTAGATGATTTTCCCGTGGCTGAAGTATTCCATAGCTAGCTTCGCGTTTTTGTGGCTAGACATTTGCCACTCAGAGCCCATGATTTGACTGGAAATGTCACGTGGCAAGATTCTTTGGCAGAGCAATTGTTGTTGTCAAAAAAATGTTGGTGTGAAAAACTACACATGTTTTTTTTTCTGGAAACAATATATATATATGTCTGCCTTTCCCAAAAACGGATCATCGCTTATTTAACCCTCATTTTTTAGAACAGCGTTTTCAAAAACAATCAAGGCACTGGACAATGACTCTGTGTCCACTTCACTAAAAAGTAGGAAACTTTTCCGGAGGTGATCCTGCAGCCAAGAGAAGACTGGCCTTTTACAAAGGCAACCTTCTCTTTCTCTTGTTTTTTCTTTTTCTCTTGCTCTTGTTGTTCTTTCTCTTTCTTCTCTGTTCTTTTTCTTTCTCTTTTTCTTCCTAATATCCTCTTCCTCTGTCTCTTCCTCTTCCTGTTCCTCGCCTTGCTCTCTCTCTCTCTCTCTCTTTGTCTCTTTTTCTATCTCTTTCTCTTATTACACCTTTAATAAAAAACTTGATGTGCAAAAGGAAACGCAATCAACATGCTGAACCCCACTCACTACAAGTACTACCAGTACTACAAGTACTACAATTTTACCCGCAAAATAAATCTTAATTAGCTTTCAGTTGTCACCAATCAAAATCCTTACTTAAATGTATGATTGTATAAAAACTCAACAGTTTGAGTGGGGTGCCATACAAATCAGGACGGAACATTAGCCCTCATGTCATATCCTGCGTTTCACACTTGGGTGGCGCCAAAAGAACCCGACTGCGCTGCCTCAACCCAGCTCCATTTACAGGTAGCAGCCTTGGTGTAGCTCCGCAGGTTTGATGGGTGCCAAAGGGGTTTCATGTCGGTAAATATAAATATACATATATTATATTATTATATATGTATATACGTATACTATATGATGTTATATATATAATTGTATATATTATGATATTATATTATATATGTGGGTTAAATTCATCGGTTAAACATCATTTTCCCTATCAAACTGACATTTTGGGGAGAATTCCCCATGTTTAAACTCATATGTTTCCACAAATGGAGATAGATACCCCAATAGCTGGATGGTTTGTCATGAAGAATCCGAGAATAAAATGGGATGATTGAGGGGTACCCACATTTTAGGAAACCTCCACATATGTAACTGTAATTATGGTTTATGGTAGATGTATGATCTATGGTTATATGGTATATTATGGTATATGTTTTGCTAAGTTGACTTCCAAGTGGGTTAACTACTTGGTTACTTAGTTCATGATGGGTAATGAGTAATGGATGTGTCGGATATCTATAAACCAAAATTTAAAACTCATACGTCCATATGGTTGGGAAACTCTTACAGTAGTTGGTAGCTCCTTGGTTCCCTATGTTTTGTTGGGTGGATAAAGGTTGACCCTTATGATCAGCCCGATCTACCAGGCAAATGCGCCTGAGAAAAACACAACTGTTACTGCAAAACAAACAACTACAAAAACTCCAACTGGTTGGTGGTATACCTACCCCTCTGAAAAGTATGAGTTCGTCAGTTGGCATGACTATTCCCAATACAGTATATGGAAAGTCATAAAACATGTTCCAAACCACCAACCAGATATAATCCCATTATATAATTATATGGTTGTTAACCATTATATGGTTATGAAATATAATCCCATTATTATTATGGTTAATGGTGAAAACAACCAGCTTTTCCCAATAGCATTGGCGGATGATGATCCTTTCAGGATGAAAAACATCTGGTGTTTCTATGAACACTTTAGGTCCCAGGTATCCACCGATGTACCCTCTGGTAAACTAACATAGCTATGGAAAATCACCATTTTCAACGGGTCAATCCACTATAGATGGCCATTTTCAATAGCTATGTTAGTTTACCAGAGGGTAACCGATGTCTTTTCAGTTTTTTTCCCTAAAACAAATGACGCCCAAATGAGAGAAATGTCCCCTTTTGTCTCCGGCTTTTAACTCATCTTCCCATCTCCCGGAATAGTTTGTGTCTTCCGTGCCTTCCGTGTTGTAAACGTTGACCAGAGGGTACCCTATGATATGAGATGGGATTTTATAGTGATTCAACAATATGGAGTATTTTCATGGGATATCTGGTAATTTGTTGCAGTTTGCGAACTTGAAAATTACCATAGAATCAGAAAGTTCGTTGATTTACCCATTCATCTTGGTGATTTTCCAGTTCGCTACGTAACCGTCCCACGAACCGGGCCCCAATTTTTGGCCCCTATGGTGGTAGGATGGAGAAATATATAGTCATCATTAGTCATCCATGACAGTATCTCACTATTATATAATATTATCCCATGTGAATCAATGATGATTGTTAATATGTGGTAAAACCCAACTATAATGTAATAGAATAATATTGATTCATATGGGATAATCATTGTATTATCAATATTGATTATTATTGTATCCCATTAATATCCTGCTACATCCCATGATTGTTGGGTTTACCACACTATGGCATCCGGTTTACCCTCCAGTAAACTAACAGTTTGCTATGGAAAATTGACCATTTATTTCGATGATGTACCGATTAAAATAGTGTTTTTAAATAGTTATGTTATGTTAGTTGTTTGTTCCACATTTTTTTCATAGTTACCCTCTGGTAATTTAACAGTTTGCTATTGAACATCACCATGTTTAATAGGTAAATCATCGAACTAAACGGGCAATCTTCAGTAGCAAACTGTAACAAATTGCCAGTGGACAAATCCAATTATCATTAATCACCATTAATCACAATCAATTAACCATTTACTATCAATATCAATATCACCATTTTTGTTGATGAATTCCATATTACTCACTATAAATCCCATTATCATTAATCACCATTCATCACCATTAATCAACCATGATTAACCATTAAATAACCATTAACCACAACTAACCAGTGCTAGTTGGTGGTTGACCTACCCCTCTGAAAAATATGAAAGTCAGTTGGGATTATTAAGGGTTAAATATGTTTAATATTCCCAATATATGGAAAAATAAAATTCATGTTCCAAACCACCAACCAGAGTATGTCAGTTCTTTATTTTTTCCGAGCGGCTGACACTGCGGCGCCCAAGCCGATCCACACGACCCACGCCGACCAAGTCAGGATGGCACTGCAGGGGGGAATGGCGAGGTTTTGACCGTAGGATAATGCACCAAAAAAGGTGGGAAAAATATGGAAAAACCATGGAAATTCCATGGAAAACCCATCTTCACTAGGAAACATCTTAGGAATCATCTTTGGATTTTTGTTTAAAGCTGGCTTCCATACACAAAAAACTGGATGAGAACATTTAGAGAGCTCACCCCAGTTGTTTGATGGCAAAATCAATGGATTCCGGCATTTTTCCTGAAAATCAATCCATTGAAATATGCTTGAAAATCGTGGAAAAAGAGTTGGAAAAAGTATGGACAGGTGGAGATTCTACTCGTTGATTCGTGAACCTTTCCAGGTTTTTGTTGGTTCAAAACATATTATTTCACACAATTCAGCCTTCTCTGAACTGGGAATCCGTAGTTCACCGTCCTTTATTGCATAACAATGACAAGCAGCCAGGGGTGCTGGGATACTCGAGTTACTAGGGGTATATTATGGTAGAGTTGGCGACTTTCTGGACTTGAGTCTAAGCTGCACTTTCAGAGGTCACCCAGAAATCGCAAGTGGATTATAATCCCAGTATTTCATTGTATTTCACTCTGGATACCCTCTGTAAACTAACATAGCGAACTGGAAAATCAGCCTTTTAATAGATAAATCATCTATAAATGATCCATTTTCCATAGCTATGTTAAATTACCATTAAACAACTGGGCTACAAACTATTTGTTAACTACTGAGGAATCGGCACATCCAAGTAACATCTTAGCTAACCAATGCTGTCGCACCTCCAATTCTCCTGCACTTTCGCTTTCGCAATGCGCAAAATGGAACCTCAGACGGAATCTCGCGAAATGATCGTCTGAATCATTGAGTTTGTTCAGAAATGTATACCGATATGCCAAAATATCTCAAAATTGTTCAATTCCTAGGGGGAACCATGCTGACAATCCTGTGGAATTGTGTTTTTTCTTAGACAAGCACTTGTATAATCCTTTTCGAAGAAATTCAATCTCGTATATAAACATGTGTGTATATTATATATATATACTGTACACACATATTGTGTTTTAAAAAACCCAAGTAAGCACTAAAACATCAGCATTGATTGTGTCGCAAAATCTAAACGGTGGTTCCCAACACCCCAGGGTCAACGTTCACATAGAGCAGGCACCATTTGAAGATCAAAAAATCCTAGGGCTCCACCATCGCTTTCCCACCATGGGTTTTGTGTATGTGAAACCTCTTGGGTATATCGGTATATCATGGTATATCCAATATCATCCCATGAACCTACAATGTGAGGCCCCCCGTTGTGATGTGAACGTTGGTTTAGATTCGCCCCAGTAACTAGTTTGTTATAAGTACCATAAACCATACTTATTAGAGTTATAAACCAACTTAGCTATCGTAAACGGGGGCCCCACTTTGTATATTAACCGCCATTCATCCCCAGTAACCCAGGGTACAAGACATGTCCGCGTTTTCTATATAGTGACATCCATCGCAACACGCCAAAAACGTCATCGTTATACGTGCCCAAGTCGCCACTCTCCTTGTGCAGTTTCAGGATGTCATCCTGTAGAACCCAAATCATCTATGGCAACCCAAAGAAAAATAGACAAAGCTAACTTTAAAAAGTGAGAAAGAAAACATAATTTTGTTGTTTGAACATTGTTGTTCTATTTTTTGGGTGCTTACTATAGATGTAACATCGAATCACATTGGATCCCGATTAGTGCCATGGGACTCTATTGTGAGACAATTTCCAAAAATTATTGAATATATTCTGGCATTTTGAAAAGAACTCAATTGTGAGAAGATTTTTCCCAGATCCATTTTTTTCAGGAGGAACTTTACCCACCTTTATACACCTTTCTTTGGGTAAAGCTGGTCCATTTACTTTAGAAAGCCATATCCATGTTAACGCTATCAAAATGCAAGGTCTCCCCCAAATAATTAGATGCCTTTTTAAACCCTTGTTTAAAAACAGCACCCAAACAATTTTTCAAGGGGGTACCCCATGAGTGACCCAGATCCTCAAAAATGTAATTGTTTCGATGGTACCCTATTGTGCACAAAAACTTTTGGGGCGATTTTTTTGGATTGAAAAAGAAAATCATATTCAAATGAATTGAAAGTAAATTGATTTCAATTGATATCCTCTCTTATCAATAGATTTCTTTGAGGTTTAAAAGGAACATCAATTGAAAGTAGATTCACATGAATTTAAGTAAATTGATTTCAATTGATATCCTCTCTTATCAATAAATTGCTTAGAGGTTTCAACGGAAAATCAATTGAAAGTAGATTCACATGAATTGAAAGTAAATTGATTTCAATTGAAATCCTTTCTTATCAATAGATTGCTTAGAGGTTTAAAAGGAAAATCAATTGAAAGTACATTCACATGAATTGAAAGTAAATTGATTTCAATTGAAATCCTTTCTTATCAATAGATTTCTTTGAGGTTTTAAAGGAAAATCAATTGAAAGTAGATTCAAATGAATTGAAAGTAGATTGATTTCAATTGATATCCTCTCTTATCAATAAGTTGCTTAGAGGTTTAAAAGGAAAATCAATTGAAAGTAGATTCACATGAATTGAAAGTAAGTTGATTTCAATTGAAATCCTTTCTTATCAATAGATTTCTTTGAGGTTTTAAAGGAAAATCAATTGAAAGTAGATTCAAATGAATTGAAATTAAATTGATTTCAGTTGAAATCCTTTCTTCTCAGTAGATTTCTTTGAGGTTCAAAAGGAAAAGCAATGGAATGTAGGTTGATTTTAATTGAAAGCCTTTCTTATCAATATGTTTTTTTTTGGAGTTTAAAAGGAAAATCCATTGAAAGTAGATTGATGTCAATTGAAATCCTTACTTAAGTTGATCATCCTGAATCCCCCAGGACTGGTTCCCAAGAAAATGCTGAGTTATTGAGTAGCCTAAAATTGTTGGGGTGGCTAATCAGTATCCAACATGAATCCACTATTTATAGATGATGCTTCCATTAAATCATGATAAAACATTATACTTATAGGGGAATATCCATTGTAACATCGGCTAATCAGAATACTGCAGTGGTCAGAGTAAAGAAATCAGTAAAATCCCCCAAGAGTGGTAGCCATTGATCGATACCTAGCCAACAAGTAAATGTTGAGCTAGATGAATGACATATATGACATATATGACATGACTGAAGCTGAGAATTGAAACCTCTCGATTTCATCATCATCATCATCATCATCATCATCAACACTATCATACGTACATGATCCTCCCACTCCCCCATACTGTTTGGGGTCTCTTGCCGGGATAATTGAAAACGTCAGTAGAAAAAACCCTGTGTCTTCTGCCTCTGCTTTTCTGTATGAACCATGGCGGAGGTTGGCTCCAATTCCCGTGGTTACAGCTATGGTCACTCCATATCCAGTATAATCAGCATAGATTGATAGGGATTACCGGTAGTAATGATTAATATGTGCAATTATTCCCGAAAGCTCTTGCGAAGGGTTTTTCCCAAAGAATTTTTTACCAAATTCAACTTTCCACTTCATCTACAAAACATCTCCTACATCTCTCCTACATCCACTTCATATGTATCAACTTCATCTACATCACATACATCACCTACATCATTAACACGATCGACAGGAACTTGACGTCTACATATCTGCTACAAAACTCCCACAATGTCATTTACAAGGAGTTCTTACACAGGACTTGTTACACAGGAGTTCTTACACAGAAGTTGTTTACAGGCGTTGCTTTACATATTTTTTGCAAAGGAGTTGTTACAGAGGAGTTGTTGCACAGGAGCTCACTTCCAGGTGATCTAATTACTTGTATCTGAACTCCTACACACCTCCTACTTCTCACGTTCTATATATTCTCTCTTATGGCGGCAGGGGCATCGTCGTCGTCGCCGTCATCGTCCTTGTCATCAAATGCTCATCCACATCCTCATCCATATATATATATATAGATCTTGGCAAATTAGAATAATTCAGTAACCTGAAATAAGGCCATTTTGGGATGATTCCTTTATTAACCATGATTCCAGTGAGGTCGCAGTGAGGTCGTTATAATTTGCCCATAATATATATATATATATATATATTTGCCACTTCCTCAATAGAGACTTGTGAAACGGCTCAGCCCGAATTTAAGCGCCAAAGCACGATGCTGGCCCGATCGGTGGCCGTCATGAAGCCTAGCCTAACGAGGCGGATGAAGAAGTACCCTCTGGTCATGACTCACAGTTTGCCATAGAAAATGGCCCATGAAAACAGATGATTTGCCTAAATTTACCTATTGAAATGATGTGTTTTTTCATATTACACCAGCTATTGATGATGTTTACTTGGATCCGCGGGACCGAGGAACGGAGGAACCGGATAAAACTGTTTGCTGGCCCAGATATAATTGGGGATATCCGATTTTAAAAATGTCTATGTTGGGCCCTGGGTGGGCCTCTATCTCTGTTGCAAGAAAATCATGCCCTGGAACTATTTATAAAATTGCCAGGAACTATTTATAAAAATAAATGGAAATATGCTCCGATATTGCCACGATATAAGCAATATAAAACAATATGACGACAATACAGTAATACTGTACCTTTACTTTCCTGCAGCTGTGGCCTTTAGAAATAAATCAGAAGCATCGATGCAATGCGCGTGTGAAAACACACACACACACTGAGCGTCCAAACTTGCCAAGTGTTTTTTTTCCCCGCTGCTGGAGCACACTGTCGTGGAGGGCTGGTTCACATCCATTCGGTCCATTCTCCCTAAACCAATGGTTTTCGGCCATCCTAAAGCAGTGCGACACCATTGTGTCAACATCGGTTCTGTTCCCATCCTCCTTTCAAGCTTTCAAGCGGAACAAAAAGGCTCCACTACTGTCAGTGAGCATCAAAATGCCTAAAAGGTGACAAAGCGGAACATTCACTTTATGGTCTTTTTGGCCTTGGGTTCCTTTGGATTTGGCTTTGCCTTGGGCGTGTTCCGCCTCTTCTGCGTCACTTTGCCAGCACGTTGCATGGAGTTAGATTGAAAGTCAAGTATTTCATGATATGCCTCGTAATATCGTGGTTTTGGTAATAGACAAAAAATGAGCTTATTTTCGAAATTGAAAATCGCTAGTGCGCTCAGTGGCCATCATACAAGCGTTAAAAAAGTATAAGGTGAAAAGGAATTCACGAAATTCCCCTACAAACACAAGAAAATCTATTGTGAAGCAGTGAAGCCTATCAAGCCACCGCAGACAGAAAGCAACGCATGTGCAACATGCAAAAAAAGCAAGAACGCAGCATACGGGCATCGCGCCATATGTTGAGTTACGCATGGAAAGTGAAATGTCGCAAAAACAATCTGTAAATCAATTCTGCTGTACATCATACATGATTTGCACGAAACCACACCGACGTAAATGTTTCTGTGATAAGTTTGTCAAAACCTAAAAAGTTGGTGAATATCATATGTGTGTGTTTGATATTTTTCCTTGTCTTTGTTTGATGTGCTACGCTCAGATGTAACTGCGCTGATACTAAAAACATATTGTTTTTTATGTCATGTCTGTTCTGTTGAATTATGTTTGATAGGTTCTGGCGTGGCTATGCTTAAGCTATGATGTTTTTGCTCGCTATTAAATTATACTCATTATATATTTATATAAATGTTTTGTTTTGTCTTGTGATGTTATTGTATGTTCTGTTGCGTTATCTTGTGTGTTTTTCCATATGTTGTGTTTTGTGGTGATGTTTTGCGACGAATATGTATTACACATAATTAAATAGAGTTGAAATTATTGATATAAAATGTTGAAAAATAGAAGTGAACAACAAGGCAGTTTATAAATAGTTCAGAACGGTTCCGAACGGTTCCGAACTATTTATAAACTGCAGCCTTATAAATAGTTCCGAACGGTTCCGAACGGTTCCGAACTATTTATACATCCCGAACTATTCCGAACTAATCCGAACTATTTGGGGTTTGGGTGTATAAATAGTTCAGAACGGTTCCGAACGGTTCCGAACTATTTATAAACACAAATTTATAAATAGCTCAGAACGGTTCCGAACGGTTCCGAACTATTTATAAATCATGCTGGTGTTTAATCCATTTTTTAGACATATTTTCGTTATCATTATCTTATTTGTTCATCATGTCATATCATAAACTTTGAAAAGTAAAAGCCAAAAGTTACAAGTTAAACCACGACGACGAAACTCAAACTTTTACGAGTAGCTTGACGGACATATACCCGTTTGCAGTATACCGTAAACGTATAATGTTAATAAGATGATCAGGCGATGGGGCACTCATGGCGAAAAATACTTTTTGATAGAGATGTCAAAACAAGTAGAAACATGAGGGGATAAAAAGACTGCCAATCCTAGCGGTCATTGCATGGTGGATGTTCAAGATGTTCATCTCACGGGAGTTCAACCGATCTGTCACGAAGGGATTTGGAATAGCAATTCGGAGGACGGATTTTAAGCTCTTTCACGTGGCTGTTCTCCTCATCCTTTGCTTTCTGGGATTGGCGGCCGTCCTCCAACAGTGGACCGCAGAAAAAAAATAGCCGGGCACCCCGGAGTGACCCCGGAGTGACCCCGGAGTGACCCCGACAACCCAGCGCGAAAAATTGGGATGGCTCCCGATAGCTCCGCGCGGAAGTTTGGAATGGTCCCCGGGGAAGGCATGAGAAAACCTCTGACTATTTATAAAATTCGAAAAAAACACCCGGAACTATTTATAAAACCAGCGCGGGACCCACCCGGAACTATTTATAAAACCAGCGCGGAACCCACCCGGAACTATTTATAAAAGCAGCGCGGAACCCACCCGGAACTATTTATAAAACCACCGAATCGGGAGCCCCCAAAAACCAGGAATCCTTGGCCCTGGAAGGGAATGCCAAAGGTCCGACGCCGGCATCTGAACTCTCCTTCACATAGGCCAAAATCTGGGAGATAAGAACTGTAGTTGAGAAGGCAGTACTGTAGTGACTAAGTGCACCAGGCCCTTCATCTGACCATGGTTTGCAACATCTTTTCTGACCATCACAAAGTAGATTCGAGCACCGGTCTGTGCCATGCAAAAGCGGGATGACCTGGGCTGCATGGATACTGCACAAACCAGAAGCTGCAGTGGGCAAAAACTTTTTGTCGATAGAAACAGTTTGAAAAATCGCTTTTAGACTCATCAGCTGCAGTGTGCATAATCTTGTTTGATACCTTGACCACTTGCAAACCATCTGGTCCTGTAGTTTCGTTTGAACTCAATGGTTTGTGACTCAAAAACTTCCCATTCACAACACAAAAAGCCCTGCAAATGCTCGACATCTTGACGCCAGCATGGTGAACATGTGAGCGCGCATGTCTGAAACCTCAATCAGTCCAAACCCTTCTTCATTGGTGACATGTATTCTTGCAGACCAGCCGCCGCCGTCTGGGTAGTTGCGTTTGATGAACTCCTGCTTCATAGCGGAGATTTCGAAGCAAGCTTCCGTCTTGTAGCTGCCCCCAAGCAATCCAGAGATATCACGCCTCAGTGATTCCAGATCCAGCCGGTTTGATGGCCACAAAACAAATTGGCGCACAATATCTTACAGTATTTCAAAATATGGTACTGCAATATAATATTTCAATATAATGAAATAAAAATATCTATTTTATATACGCATGATATATTATATATGCTCGACCGGCCTTTTGTTATATTATTTTATAATATTTTTTATTGTCTATCTAAAATCAAACGCAATATTTGTCACAAGCGCCTTCCGTTCTGAAAATCTTGGGCCTAAGCTACTTGAACTGAGCAAAGGAGCAGGCAATACGTCCCAGTAGCAGCTCCTGCGCATCCTTCGATGACACACAACCTCATGCATCAAATGCCACGGAGAAACCAACCCTAGAGGATAGAAGCAAACCTCAAACATTTGCTCCCATCAGGATAGCACATTTTGAAACCCTCACGCGTTGCCAGGAAACCGGGAAGGAAGCCGATCCTTCTTGTCCCCCAGGCCAAGTGTCTTTGAAAAAATGGAAGCCCAATCTAAGCACCGCGGCCCTGCCGTCCTCAGAAATCATAGGGTGAAAGAGTAACCAAGAGCAAGACTCAAGATGGTCAATGTTAAGTTCAGAAGGACAAAAACTCATCACATTGTCATGCAGGCAAGTGATGGAAGTCACGGGTCATACCATAAACAGACAACAACGTGAATCTATTTAATGCAAACAAACATGGGAAAAATCCGACATGAAAGTCAATGTCTCGTTTCACCAAATCAGCACTGCCTCATGTTTGATGTCAATCTGATTTGTGTCAATCCATGCCATGTCGACACGCACGTGAAGACGCTAAAACTAGGCGCCTTCAATCACCAAAATGAAACTGAACTAAATCCAGCTGTGTGTCTCACTGCACTTGCTGGATGGCGCTGGCGATGCTGCAGAACCATCACAATCAGCCATGGCTATCCACCGAAGCAGTGGCAGCCTACTCTGTCATAGGGCCTGGGGTCTGGTCTTGGGCCCACAAGAAAAGAAAGTTGGCGAGCATGAGTGCCTCAAGCAAGCCAATGACCAAATTGAAGGCATCAAAACTGTTCGTTGGTAAATGGGAATGTGGTAATAGAAGGTAACCCAAGGGAAAATAATAGTTCTTCCACAGATTACCGGTAATAAGGTAAGAAATTCATAAGGATGGTGGGTTTCCCAATCAAAAGATCATATGTCCCAATCAAAAGATCTTAAAGAACCTGAAGTTCAATCCAAATTTCTGGTGTATCTGTATATGCTGTCCCCCATATATCTTTGTCCTGTAAGCTGGTTAGTTACCCTCTGCTAGTTGTACCCTTCCATCATTGTTGGTCACAAGGGGGATTGGCCAAGGTCTTAAGATAATAGGTGAAATATCCCAATTCTTCATCAAAGGTGTGAACTAGTTATCCCAGGGTGAGCCTCTCAATAATTTATAAATAGTTCGGGGGGTAGTTTATAAATAGTTCGGGGGTGTTCAGGGTATTTTATAAATAGTTCGGGGCATCCCAAAGTCCAAAAACAGAAACCCTCTAACAAAGAGGCCCACCCAGGGTCCAATGTCTATGTATATATATATATACATAATTATTATAAATATATATATACACATAATTATTATATATAATTATATATACGTATAATATCTTAATGGCTTACAGCATGGCACAGTCATGGTTATTGGCTGCTTACTTGCTGGGATCCTGTTGCCAGTATGACATGAGCGTCCAAAAAATCTGGTTGTCAACTATCGCTTGTGCTCCAAATACTTCTGCCTTGGGAGCTGTAGGGTCTAGTTGTTCGTTCTGAAATGAATAGCAACTATAGTGACCTCTCGCTGTTTTTTTTTCCATAAGTGTACGTCGGGATATTAACAACAACCCGGCAGGTTTTTTTGATACAGCGGTACACAAGGGCCTTGGCAAAATAGATCAAAATGGTGGATGCTTCTACCCTCGGAACAACGTCATTTGCGAAAGAACTTCGTACCATTCGCGGTGAAGTCTATTCATGTTTGCGATGGGTCCAAAAGTTCCACTTCTGGGGATGACGAATTCCTGCAAATCGGCCCGTTTTTTGTGAGGTTTCCGTTGCTGGTTTTTTTTGCGGTGGGCCTTGGCCGTTATGAGGTCGCTGTGGCAACTGTGCGCATGTTAATCAAACATAGCCTGCTGGGCCATCTGCCATTTACTTCAATGATGTTTCCATATTTTCCATGAAATGTCCCATTTCTAGGGGATTTGCCTTTGCCAATTGACCCTTAGAATGGGAAAGAAAAAAAGGGTCCACCAGTGCCATTGATTCCATCAAATCACCGTGGGGCACCAAGGGGCTCTGACTGCGCACGATGTAGGAGTTGGATGGCCATATTCTTGCGCTCCTGGCGCAAGAGTTGGATGGCATTTTTGGCGCTTGAGATACCATTGGCGCAAGCTGGTGTGGGGATTTCATAGGGGGCATAACATGGTTTTTTACCGCCAATATGGGAGTTAACCATCAAAAAACTAAACCATACGATATGGAGTTAATGAAATGTTGATGCTTGCTAAACCCAATTATCATAACCAAAACAGAAACAAACCCAAGAAGTAATAACAGAGGGTTCCTTGACACCATCCCGAATAAGGCATTGTTTTTTTTCGAAGATCTATAGATGGCCCCCCCATTTCCTATGAGGAACTAAATTATACCAAACAACAACATACAAATCCTCAAAGTAGATGTTCACATGTCAAACTCCTATGTACTACACATTAAAAACAGAATATCTATCTTAAGATTTGGGTATGTATGTCTCTATATATGGGAGATACTCCAGAATAACGGTCCTTCTCAGCCAATGGTTTGAGACATTTGGCCAATCATCGAAAAAACATGAAAAAGTCTGGCAATTAAGGCTTACTTAAGTGAGATATTCATCAGTGAAATGTAAGATTGATGTCCCTCAGGTGTTTCACTGGAAATCCCAGGAAAATCAATCTTTGTGGCTGTTGATGTGTTGTCTTGCTATCTTCTAACTGGAATCCCGTTTGAGATATCTAGCAGGTCAATTCACAATCTTGAGATATAAACTTTATAAAGGGCCTGAAGCCGAACGGGTTTTTCATGGGGCTTTTCTCTTCGAAAGACACGCTGGGATGTTGTTTGCCAGGGTCAAACCGGCTTCGATTCGATGAATGCTGAACGAAACCACTGCGAGTCACGTTTCACGCCATGTTTCCTCACAAAAATGGCCCAAACAAAGCCGCAAAGATCCGCAAAAAGATCTTGGCTCAATGAATCATGTATTTTATTTACCCTCTGGTAATTTAACATAGCTATTGAAAATGGTGATTTATAGTGGATTTTCCCATTGAAAATGGTGATTTTCCATAGTTATGTTAGTTTACCAGAGGGTATTTGGCGATTCAATTCCAGATTTCCCAGGAAATGAATCGAAACAACTTGAAACTCTGACAAAGCTTTGAATTCCACAATCCCAGCCTGAAATTGTGCAGCACAGACTTACCTGTTTCCTATGCAGCTATGCCTTACAAACCTCTGGGCCACATATTTGGGGAATCTACATCCGCATGCCCATGGCCAAATTCACGCCCATTCCATGTCGACCCATTTCGAGACCAAGTCTCCCAGTCTTTGGCTGGCACATATTTCTCGGTGAATTCCGTGACCTTCTGATGATCCTTTTCCTCAGAAATCTCATGAGGAACCGATTCATGAAGGAGCTACCTACCATATATAAGGCCTATTGTTCAAGCCTATGTTTGCGGGAATATCCCCACAAAATATGGCCTAACATATGGTACTAAGTTAGTACCTCCATTTTATTTTTTGGGAATACAAGGGGGAACACATCAGAGTTGTTTCAACCTAATTACCCTCTGGTAATTTAACATAGCTATGGAAAATCACCATTTTTAATGGGAAAATCCACTATAAATCACCATGTTCAATAGCTATGTTAGTTTACCAGAGGGTATATGGCCTAAATTTCATGGAATATCCCCACAACATCTGAAAAATGCTACGATTGTTTACGGTACCTCCATGTCTTGGATCCGACGAAATTTCGCCATGCTGAAGGTGGAGCCTCCAATGTATGGTGGATTTTTCTACAGAAAAAGCTGGGGTTGTAAATATGGGTGTGTCTGAAAATAGTGTACCCCATTTTCCCAATGGTTGATGATCATTATCCCTACTAAATGGCTATAATTGGGGGTATACCCCATTTTCAGACATACCCATATGTATCAAATACAATCTGTATATCGTGACTATATAAAGAAATGATATGAAATGATTACGTGGTAATGATAGGCCCAGAAACGCTGCGTATCAATCCGGCTCAGTGATAGTTCTGGTTGGTTTGTCTGTAGTTCGCGCATCAGTTCAAGCAGCGTCCCTTTTCCGATATAGAAAGCCGTGAATAGCCTTCATCCCAGAAAGTTATGTTACAAGTAATGTGGGTAAAAAACACATCCATGATAGATTTATACTTCAATGGTAATGGTGATTTTAATAATCCTCTATAAATTCTGGTGCTTATAAGATGAAGGATCAAGATATGAGACCAATGTGCTTAAAACAATGCCATGAACCATCCCCCAGTCATCACCATAAATAGATGGTGTAAATTTCCAAATGGGGTGGTTGCGGACATCGTTTTACCCACATTTAAAAAAAAAAAACGTATACCCGTATTATCCCGTATTCGAGTCCAAATAATCGCGGGATACTGCCACTAGATCCGGCACTTCGCATTTAAGCATTGCATACCATTTCTATCGTGGATAATCTGCGGACCTCCAGATCGACCAGCCAGCTCTGGTCACAGCAAAATGCTTGCAAAGCACAAAATACGGAGATTAAAATGGGGTGCGTCTGAAAATTGGGTATACCTACAAATTCATTAGCTTATAAAAAATACGGTCATTAACCATATTATTTGCCATCTGGTTATGACTAACATGGCCATGGAAAATCACCATGTTTAATAGATCGGTAAACCATCTATTTCGATTAGGGCCATCTATACCATGGCGAACTGTTAGTCATACCCTCTGGTAATTTAACATAGCTATTGAAAATCACCATTTATTGTGGATTTTCCCATTAAAAATGGTGATTTTCCATAGTTATGTTAAATTACCAGAGGGTAATAGGAACAAAACATGGAAGGATTTTATTCTCCACCGAAGCAATGGATGATGGATGGCTTTCAGGTCCTATCAGACTTCGGCAAGAAAATCCCAGGTCCCAGGAAGCCAATCCGAACAAGAAACCTGGCCATAAAGTCAGCCAATGCTGTCATGCATTGTCATCAGCTTTTTCATAGATTCTGGATATGGTTGTTGGATGTTGAACAGGCTGAAAAAAAAAATGGGGTGCAAATTGGGTTACAAGTGGATAAATCACCAGGGTTACAGGGTTACAGGGTGTTTTTCGTCAGCGTGGTTATCTCCGTACAAAAAATCTCCATCACTGCTTGGAGGATCAAACATGATCAAACCACGAATCGTTTTTGTGATTCATAAGCCTAGATAGTAAGTCCCCATGAACAGTGGGCTTATTCCATATACATAAACATATACATTTACACATACAAATACATATACATAAACATAAACATATATATATATACATACACATTATAATATATATATATATATAATTATATATAACTGGCTTATAAATAATATGGTCATTAACCACTTACTTGCGGACCATGGGATCCAAGTGGTGAAAAAAAAACTCACCGTTTCGCCACCCACAAACAGGACCTGTTAAGCCTCCAGTAGACTGATCCTGAATAAATATGTTATCGAAGGATCAGTAGATGATATGTACTGGATTCATTTTACTGGATATTTTACTGGATAGTTACTGGATATGTACTAATGATTTTAACATATCTACTGGATATCAGGATAATTTGATGATATATCATCTCCAGTAGTATCATTGATATGTTACTATTAGTCCTGAGTAATCTAAATATGTTATCCAATGATTCAATGGAAATTTCAGACCTAAAACGGAGGTACTGTACCATGTACGACCATATTTTGTGGGGATATTCCCTTACATAGGCCTGAAAAATAGGCCTTATATATGGTAGGTACCTCCAATTTAGGTTCCTGAAATGGCCATTGAATGATCAGCAGATTAACATATCCAGGTATCCAGTAGATGATGTTAACATATGTTAACATATCCTCCACTGACTTCACCTCGATGGTAAAACCTCCTGAGAACAAAGTGCACATCATCCATTTCATCCAATGGTATTATCATTTTCCAACAAAACTAAAGTTTCGGTATATACTTCTGTAATGTGGGGAAAACAATGTCATAAACCACCCATTTGGCATGGTTTACACCACCTATTTATGGTGATTTGGGGGATGGTTTATTATTGTTTTACCCACATTATCTTTAGTGAAAAGTAATCGTCCCCCTATTTGGCAGGGTCTATGTTCATTTGGGGGAATTTACCTTCAATATCATGCAATTTTCTGGGATTTTGTTTTAATAAGCAGATTTATTAGTCAGTGATAAGCAGGCTTACTAGTCAGTGACGAAGTGGAATGATCATCCATACCTTCACATGGACTGAAACATCACCCAACTTTGGGTGATATCATCTTCACCATCCACTATCGTCGATCTTGGTGATGTCAAAAGAATAAAATATGGAGACAGAAAGAAGTACATAACATCTGCCGGCACTTGAAGTCATGGCAAATTTAAATACACTCCAAAAAACAATCTAAAAACATATGTTTTTAGCTGCCTATAGACTATATATACTGTATATAGTCATACTATATGCCCACTTGGCCCAGTCTCCAACTTGTAGACCAGGTCTGCTGCATATTGCGGATATTTCGCCAGCAGGTCCCTGGAGAGAAAAGTGGATTTAACCAACGCAATCCATGATGGTATAAGTTGATTTATATCCATATTATGATTAAACCATACATGATGGATTGTGAATATGAATATAAATATGATTAAATATGCATTATGAATATATTGAACCATACATAATATTGTTTAAGTTGATTTATATCACTATTATCTGGTTGGTGGTTGACCAACCCCTCTGAAAAATATGAAAGTCAGTTGGGATGACGACATTCCCAATATATGGAAAATAAAAAATGTTCCAAACCACCAACCAGTTATGATTCGTAATGGATTCATACATGATTCATATCATTCATATTATCCATGGTGGTATGGATATGATGTATATCAATCGATGCTTTGGATTCATACATGATTTAAATCAATGCATGATAAGTAAGTTGTTTGAACAAATGGTTTGATGTATGGTGACTATATCGAACTAGTTGGATGGTGCGGCTCACAACAAGCATTTGGCTGGGGTGCCCTTCCTGTCATCTCACGCAAAATAAGGTCGTCTTGGTGAGGATTTTATAAATTATCAGTAGGATTTCCTATCTACACTCCTAAAATTTCACGTGAAATAAGATTTCCCCTACTTTCCCCATAATCTCCGGTGACGGACGTTCCGTATGTTTTTTTCCGATTCCAAAGCATGTCCAGTCTGGTCTCCTGAGGTACTAGACATTCTTGAGTGCTGCAGGATAGCAGTGTTTCACGGGGCTGAAAATGATCCCATATGTAATGGCATTATCACTTGATAGACTCTCTTGATATGCTACTGCCCGTTAATAAAGCCGTTTCCCATCCATTGGGATATGTTTTCTCTGAAGTGCTGTACTTGCTGTTCTGTCATGTGTTTCGTTACTGTATCTGTCCCCGTCGCTTGAAGCGAGTTCCATTCGCCAAGCTGCTCGCAGCCTCTAGTTGGGCTGAGCCCCATATTGGCTTCCTGTAGTGCCTGAGCCGCCTCACTGTACGTCTCACCACATAGCAGCTGACCCAGATTCGCTGCAAGTGCGTCAGCTACAGATTCGAAGCTTGCAGGCATGTGCAGTTTGGCATCAAGTGTGTGTGGTCGTGAAGATGAGGAAAAGTCCCATTTGCCTAGCTCCATAAGCATTCTGACCTCGTTGGGCTCGTACTCAAACAGCGTTGCGTTCATGCTGTCAAACATGGTGAATTGTGTGGTTGTTTCACAGCATGGAGCCCGGAACATCTACATACTCATCTGCCATTGCTTCATTGGTTTGCCCCTTTTCCGAATCTATAGAGCGGTCTCAATACATAAATATAACTTGGAGATGTCTTTAAATCTAACTTGCGTAGGGGTCAAACATACTGTATCACTGTATTACCAACTCTCCACTTTGGTTGTCACTTTGGTGGCTTGAAACAAACATTTAGTTTGTGAAAATCACCATGTTGCGTCTTCATATCACAAGTTTGGCGCCTCGAATTCATTTTTGTGTTTTTTTGTACGGGAAGATCTTGATGTTTGCTGTTGAGGATTCTATGTTTGGTGTGAATCCTATCCGTTTGTTGTTAAGCAACTCAATTTTTGCCTGTTGAAGTCGCAAGTCCCTTAAATTTCTGAATAAAAACCTTTGGTTGCTTGGCAAATCTTGGCAAAGCAGTCTTCAATTTCTGTTTCACAATAGCTATTCCACGAAAAAAATATCATTGGATCATCATTCGGAGAAAGTGACACCCCTCGGGGCACCCTGAGAGTGGCAGAAATGGGATAATCTCACTTCGCAAACTGGCTCACATAGTTCGAACCCATATTTATACATGATATATAATATTATATATAATATTATATTGGTAAACATGTGAACAACTGTAAAATAATGTAATATTAGTTGTAATATTATGAAAAATATATATTTCAGTTACATAATATTATATAATTAAATATAATTGATGTGGTAAACATTGGTAAAACAATGTTTACCATCCCTAAGTCATCACCATTGTTATGGGTGGTATATAACAAAAATCCCCGGTAGGTCAACCATTGGCACCTCAATTGGACCACGGTAAAACCTTCGTAGCCATCCACGTGGCATGCATGAGCGAAGCGTGCCTAAGTCGAGGGGAGAGGCTGCCACCAGAAAATCCTAATGATGTTAAAGGTCCATCAAGAAAAGCCAGGTTTATGTATGCATATATATAATACATAACTATATTATAATATTACTATATGTATAAATATTTATATGTACATATACTACATGTATTAAAAGTTATATATATATATACAATATACGTTTGTCTGAACAATAAGATGTTGATTAGAAAGAAAACACTCAGCAGAGTTTCACTCAGCATTCAGCAGAGTTTCGTTTTTATGGCACGACATGTGGCCCTGGGAAGTACTTACGTGAGCTCACGTGTTGGCATGATGTATGTTGGTGATCTTAAGTACCCCTATTAGACCATCGCATTTTCACCCCCTTAACCCATGCTGAGTCCTGTAGGACTCGACGCCGATCATTGAACATGCTAGACTTTAAGTGGTACTAGCTACCATATAATATACCGTATTCAAAAACCAGGCAAAATTAAAACTGGGATGCTATAACCAGAAGGACTTTGAAAATTTTGAAATGGCTCTGGGTCGCCATTGGGCACCCAATTATAATAGATTCTGTTTTGTTTAATGCTTCGCTTGGACCTGTGACGCTCAACCATTTTTTTCCACCTGAGCTCCGAACCAACTCTCTTTCAGTATTGTCAGAAGCTTTCCTGAGGCAAATCTGATGACACCCAACGGTTAAGTGTAGCTTCTGAAACGAAAGAAACAGCAGGTGTTTCTCCTTATATTTTTTGGTATATTATATATATACACACATTTTATATGTGGGCATATGTTTATAATGGTTTATAGATGGTTATAATATATACAGTAATACAACATCCTATGCAATCATATGTGATGTATATATATATATACAAGGATCAATAGATTAATCAATCGAAAACCACATTTATATGTCAGGTCATGTGACATCATGTGGCTGGGGTTCTTGCCCATTTTCTGTACTAAACCAACTGGAAGTTATGGATGTTCATCCTCTCATGAAACCAACTGGTCCGATAGGTACTGAATGGTACTGACCATCCTCATATTTTTCAGGTGACAAATAGTTAATCAATGATTAGCTGAATGATTAAGATACCTTAAGTTGATTCATTTCCCTTGAATAGATAGTGTGTAGTTATGTAACAATGTAAAACCCCAAACTGAACGGATCTCAGTCGAAAAGCCAGGGTTTCAACTGGATTTTTTATTCATGACATATTGGGGGATCCGATGAATGAACAGGTCTAGTGATCATCCATATTCTATCCTACCCACTTAGATTGTTGTTTCTTCAGTAGCTTTAGTAACTTTAGTTCATTGAGTCCCCCAGGAATTTGAGAGTTCACTTCCCATGTTTTCCAGGTAATGTCAACCCCGGATTAATAAACCATGGTTTATTCATTAGGGGGGGGTACTCCTCCAATAGTCATAATATGATACTTAAATGGTACCCTCCCAATTAAACAATCTAGGGGTTTATTAATCCAGGGTTGACATTAATGCTAAATCCCCTAATCTGCCACAAATTCTGACAAGCAACACATGACGGTCCAGCGTCACCGTGGCGAACCATGACAAACAACCTGTCGGATCAATAAACAGGCATCATGTCATCATGTTTTATAGTGATTATAGTGCTCCATGGCTAGCGAAACTATACTATAGTAACTATTACTGTATAGTAAGAATCCATGGAGCACTATATATAATCCCTAGCCATGGTTACTATTCTATATATTCTATATATATATATATATACGTATATATATTAGGCTGATTGTGGTTGCTGACTGTGTTTCGACACTCCTTCCTGAAATTTCATGGAAAAAAAACTGGACTGGATGGAGGTTGCCATGGCTCCATATGCCATCGAAGATCCCGTCACGGAAAATGCATCAAAATACTGGCTTCAATGAAGAAATGTCAAAGACTTCGTTGCGAAATGTTTAGCTCACTCAGTATTCACAGTTATACGAGCTGGCCAAGTGTCTCAAACTCGAATCTATAAACATTATATATAATATAAAAACCGATTAAAACTGGAATCTCTATATATATATATATAAATATATTCTATAAACATCATAAACCTTGCTGTGCAACTCCCAAACTTCTCAACCAACAGCTGTTTCTAAAACGACCACGCAGCCGTCATCGAGTCGCACCTGCAATGACTGAGGATCCCATCAAAATATGAAGCACCGAATAGGCACGACTGATGTCCTGACACATCGGCATCGAATAAAAAGAAAGAGTTGTCTTGTGCAAAAATGGGGTGTATTTATACATGTTTATACAACTAAATATGCATCATACTGTATCATACTATCTAATACCCACATGTACTATATATATATATATACGTATGTATAGAGAGAGTGGCAGATATGTATTTCTACGTGTATTTGTATAATATGTAATGTACAAATTATATACCCACAATTTCCCATGCGTACAGGGCAACTGATGGTAATCGGGTGGTCTGGTTATCACAAGACACTGTTTAAATATTGTTAAAATATAGAGCCAGTCCAGCAAACGTTTACTGGAAACATTCTGATTACAAACATAAGCTGTTAATTCATGAGCCAAACATTCTAGTAAAACATACCCGAAACATCACTGTGGGTTTTATGGTGTTTGACTATCAGGTATAGGGGGCTCACTTATGTTTGGCCAGATTTGAGGCCGCAAGGCTTTAAATCCTGGACGTTCCAAACTCAGCAGTGTATGATATTGATGATTTTATTTATGGCATATTTTTGTGGTTGCACTTTTCCTATACTTGTAGTTTTGGAGCAAAAGTGCAATGGCGTTGTCCAACCATGATGCCCAAAAGTGATCCGAATTTAGATTTTTATAGTAAGAAAATGGTGATCAGCAACGAGATTTGGCTAGCCTAACATCAAATAAACCCATATATGTGTCGCTTTGATATACACACGCTTTGGTTTGAAGAAAACCACACAAGGACAGCACGTCTCAATCTGTGAAAGGGATCGTTTTTAGGAGACTTCATCTGAGGCCAACCAACAAAAAAAGGGGGGCCCAGAATCCACAGATGTGAGATAAACCCGGGTTGTTATTATGTTTCTGAAAATGGATAATAATCCTGGTAATCATGTTCTTTAATTTTGTGTTTCTGATTGTTAGATATAAACCGATTGTTTCGGGGTGTGTCACATTGTGTTATATACCCACTCATGGAACGATTTACTGCCAACAGTTGACCACAATATCTTGCCCGATTTGAACATTACCCAATTCCTACATCGTCCCAGCAAAATGATAGGCCCCCGTGCGTTAGTCTCAGACAACAGGCCAAAACCAATGGAGAGCCCAGTTTGTACCTGGTGCCGGGGCCTGCCGGGGAAGGGCTGAATTTTGAGGCCCCATCTTTTTCGTGGGATTTCCACCCTGATATGGGGATGGGTCAAAACCCTGGTACCTAGTGAACCCCAAAATAGCTGGGATTTATGGATGTTCATCCCACTAAAAATGTATCTATAGGTATTGACCCATACCCATATGTCTTTTGATGAAGAAACATTGGCTTCCCATGGTTTTTTCGGACATGACACGGTGGTGGATTTATCCATGAAGGATGATTAAGGATGATGGCTATTGCCTGCCATTGATCATAAAATATACAAACAACATCAAACAACAACCATTCCACTTTGGGTCACTCGTGGGGCGTTCGCTGTCCCTTTTAATCGCTTCAGTGGGCGGCCGTGACCAACTCGGGCGCACCGAGTAGTAGAAGCTTTGACCAAAGGTCCATCCACAAATATTTTTGGAAGGATCCGGACCTTGGCTCCGACCAAACTGAAACAAAATGGGCAGCAACGGCTCTGGTCATGTTGTGATTGTGATCCATGTTGGAACTCACCAACGGATGTGCATCGCAAGTGGAGTTTTTTCGCGGCTCTTAACTGGTGATATGCCATAGCTAACGAGCAAACTAGGTTGAAACAGTGCTTGCTGAAAAATCCACATAGATGACAGTCCCAGCTACTCCATTTGGTTTGGGGATTTCCCAGCCAAAAGATGAGGTTCCCAGTTGATCTGGCCATGTTCGGCATATGGCAGCATAATGATAAAATTTGGCTGTGTCCCAAATCTTGTGGGGTACATCATATGTCATGAATTTGTGGCCAGTTCGAAACCAGAGATCAAGTGGCCAAGGAAGGGCCCCTCAGCCCCGGACAGTTCTCCACCAAGAAGTAGACAATGGTTCCTGTCCGGGAAAAATCGCCCCCACTTAGCCTCCGTCATCAAACATGGCAACTGAACAATCCACTTTTTGGTTACTATAAATGAAGCTTGTGTTGGGACAATCCATGGATTTTCCAAGTTGCCATGTTTTTTTTTCAGAGGCTAGTTATAAATATCTATCACTGAGATATATATTCCCTAACAGGGTGAGTTCACCAGGGTCAATACCCTCTGGTAACCTAACATAGCGGACTGGAAAATCACCATGCTATTAATGGGAAAACTCACTATTTCTATGGTCATTTTCAATAGCAAACTGTTTGTTTACCAGAGGGTAACCAGTTGCGATCCAGGGGATGATCCAAGTAACCTTTTTCTTGAACTGCCCACTGAAAAAGTGGATCTGTCAGTTTTTTAGCTGATTTGTTTTCCATGAACCTGACAATACCCATACAAAAAGGCCACTTGAAATATAGGACATATAGGATCTCAGAAAAAGAAGCCATCGAGTAGACCTTCACTAGGGTCTATAGGTCTAGGATATCAAAAATCTGATCAGTTTCTAATCCGAACTGGTTTCAGTCCCATTCTTGCAGGAACTTCTTGGCAAAGTGAGATTACCATCTTTCCACATCCAGAAAAGGCCCCAACCTTGGATATGGGTTGACCCAGTGCCAGGAAACAGCACTTAACCCTGGTCAATAACCCTGGCGAATAATTCTGGCTATAATAACATTATTCTGGATAATATTTCACTAACCTGAATAGTTCGGCCATTTTGGGATGATTTCCCTTAACTATGATTCCAGTGAGGGAGAACCGTGAGGTCGTTATAATTTACCCATATATATATATGAGAACATGAATTTTATGACTTTCCCATCATATTGGGAATATCATCATCCCAACTGACTTTAACTCTATCATTATAACTGATGCTTAAAACTATCATGTGGTTGGGAAACTCCGAATCGCCATGAACAAAAATATGGAGCTCGTGGCCAGCCGAATCGCTCCGAATCGCTCAGCCCTCAAAGTATTCACTGGACTTAAAGAGTCTTTTTTCTTATGGGGACAGAATAGGGATTTTCGGGTGTAATATACCTTTATATAATCTAATATACCAGTGATATGATACATATCCCTTTTTGGATGCTTGCAGTGTACAATATGGGCTTCATCATGGCAACATTATATACTGCTTTATATGAACAAACCCTCATCATCCCTGGCGGGATCGGCACGGGGTCGCCTACGAAGACCCATAGCACCACCTAAGGTCGCCGAAATCGCTCACCAACGAGACCGAATAGCTTGCAGATTTCGGCAGCCGTAAGTCCCGACTGCGTAATTACATATGTTGTATCAGCTTCAGGATTGGTATGACATACATTTGTACCTCTCCATACTCTCCATTTGTTGATTTAACAGCCATTGACCAATCACACCAGGGTCAGTGGCTCGTCGGTGCGAGGTGTTCTGGGCAGACAGCCTTGCCATGAGAATTCCTGAAGCCTGGGGGTTGCTTCAAATGGGGGATCCCCAAAAGCATGGTGATTTCAATACTGAAATGGATTACCATCTGGTTATTTAACATAGCCATGGAAAATCACCATTTTTTATAGGTAAACCATCTATAAATGGGCCATTTTCCATGGCTATGTTAAATAACCAGAGGTTATATCATAGTTATAATGACTTGGATGATTCGGGGGGTACCCCTACTTAGGAAACCTCCATTTTTTAGACCCATATGACTTCCCCCGTGCAGCTTGAAACTTCCAGCATAATCCATCATGATCATAACATATCTTTCATTGCAAGATGTTTACATTCCTCAAAGAGAACAAGGCGTCACTATCTAGGTGAATGATCTGATTCAGAACAATAGATCGTTACCTATTGTTTCATAGATCCCTCAAAACTATTGTCCAACACTCGGATGACTGTCATCTACAACATCCGATACAAGACTGAAATGATCTTGGAAGATTGCCCCTGTCAAATCTTTCCCATGTTTGTGGCCTCTCCATTTTCTTCAAGGCACGGCCAGGGCAATCAGCACCCGCCAGATCATGATGGGCCGCGGAAAACTGGTGCCGATACCCTGCCGATTTCTCTTCAGAAAATGTTTTTCGAAATTGGTCAAAAGTCCTGGCGATTTTGATCCCAACCTATGTTGCTTTGAAAGCACATGGTGTTTCCACATGGTTTGGGATGAAGCATGTTGCAAGTTGCAATCTGAGCAACAATGTCTGAGTGGAACGGGCAGAGAACACTTGAAGGAACGGATCTGAAAGACTTGAAGAAAAGCTGGCGATGCAAATTTACCACATGGTAAATCAAGCCGTGCACGTTAAAGCAATCTTCAAATCATTCTAGAACCCCCTTTCCTAATGTTGGATCAACTTCGATGGGTAAAGATGGTTCCAAGCCAAGCATTGGGCCTTTACAGGGCACCTACCAATGGACGTTCTAACAACGGTGTATTAGGTAACTACTGGAGGATCATCCCATTTAGTGAGTGGTTTGTAACTACAACTATAGATACTGTTAAAAGCCGCCACGTATAAATCATAAATGGATATGATTTCAATATAATTTACAGGATGGTGACTTAGTAACCACGGTTATCGACCACTTACTAAATGGGATGATCCTCTAAGTAGCACAACAATGGTTTTCGGGGATCGGGTCTATCTCCCAACTCACGCTCCGTCGCGACGGAGCGACCAATGTGCACAGTTTCAGACACCCAAAAAGATCAACGATAGCCTGCACATTTTTTTTTGAGCTGCATGGTTGGTATCTTCATGTATATATCTTCTTTGCAAAGAAGAATGACTCGCTATAACTAAAGATACCCTCTGGTAAACATACAAAAAGCTATTGAAAATGGCCATTGAAATATATATATATCTGATTTACCCATTAAAAATTGTGATTTTCCATAGTTTTTTGTATGTTTACCAGAGGGTACAAACAATTCAACCAAGCTTCAAGCCCTCCAACCCAACCGGGGTCGGAAGTCTTGTGAAAATCCCGATGTTCAAACTACAGCCGGTCGATCTATTCTAATCTATACAATGGATGAAAATGGTGGATTTAACCATCAAGTTAATTGGATTTAATGGGATTTATATATATAAATAATATATATATAGATTAATTATAACTACCAGTATAACTATTCTTCCATTCGCATCAGAAAACTCATCAATTGTGAGTAATCGTTTTCAGCCGCTTTACCCATCACCCAGACACCCCAAGCGCTTCGTTGATCCGCCCGGGGTCTTGTAAAATTGACTGTCGTATCGAAGACTTTTCACCAGGTTTTTGTCCTGCGGCCAGCGATTTTTCTGGTGTTTTTTCACTTTGCTATTGTTTAGATGGAAAATAGGTGTTCTATACTAACCAATTTGCATGGTGATTTTTTCAGTTTGTAAAATAGATGCTTTGCCTATTATTCTAATGATTTTCCATATAGCAACCTGTTAGTTTACTGAATGGAATGCCAATTCTTGATGAACCAATTAGTATAGAACACCTATCTGGGTAAATTATAATATTTCACTAACCTGAATTTGAATAGTTCGGCCATTTGGGGATGATTTCCCTCAAATAAGCCATGATTCCAGGGTTCGGGAGAACAGTGAGGTCGTTATAATTTACCCAGACCTATGTACAAGATGTTACAATCACCTAAATGGATTGTGTCCTCATTGGCCACTGATCAGTTTTACAAAGCTATTCTGTTTGGCCACTCATCAGAGAAAAACCTGAGTAAACTGTCCATGCCACAGGGGTGCACACCTTATGTTTGAGGAGCAATTTGCAACCCATAAAAATGGGGAAGTTACAATCACTACACACCCATTTACAAAGTTAAGGGAGTAAACCAACTTAGATTGGCCAGTAACTATGGAGCACCACCGTAACGTGCCTCTGTTCGTTCTAAACCTATTTTCAAAAGGTGGATGAGGTGGATGAAAAACAGCCCTGGATGGTTCGAAAACCATCAAGGTGATCATCAAAAAATATACCAACTTAGCCAATAAAAAAAGTGGATGTGCATCCCAGTCCCAGTTACATCCAGTAGGTAACTGGACCATATATTCTAACACAGCTATATATTACTTAAGAATACTTAAGATAGGGATGCATACCCAGTCGTATGGACTATTGACCCTGCAATGGGTTACATCACTGGGTGATTCAAGGCCCCTTTTTGTTTGGACCGGAGTAGCTGGGTGGGTTCCCAGTGGGCTCCCAGATGACATGGAGTACAACATAGATGTGAAAACCCATGGGTTCCCCCCAGGAGTACGTGGGAATAACTATGATTTCATGAGCGCAACACATGGCCATGTAAACAGCTATAGAGCTGCCCGGCTGATGCTTTCCTGAAAAAAAATACACTACGAAAAACTATAAACGATCCAGATTCTATCCCACTAATCGTTGATACTCCGACAGTCGTTTAAATCCCGTTTTCCTCAGGGTTGCTCCCAACATCCCAAATGCAAGGCAAAAATTGGCGAAGTAAAGGCTATATTTAACCATCCTTGACGTGAAATAATTAGGTTGAAGCAACTCTGCTGTGTTTCCCCCTTGTATCCCCATTATAAAATGGAGGTACTGTACCATATAAGGCCATATTTTGTGGGGATATTCCCGCAAACATAGGCCTGAAAAATAGGCCAAAAATATATGGAATCGGTACCTCCTTCATGAATCGGTTCCTGAAATGGGCATTGACCATTTATGGAAATTTGTTGAAAAATCCTCCCCATATCCCGGTGTTTCTTACCAATCTTTCGGTGCCGGTCCTGGAGAATCTTCTTGGTATCTGTGGCATGATCAGAATCCATGGCGCCTACGAATTTCGTGGGCGAAAACGAAATGGGGAGGTCAGCAGAAACCACGAATTTCCAAAACTGAGCCCGGCAAGCTTTGAGGACAGCAGAACAGAATCTGTAGTTACTATAGTTTGATCAAGCCTGAGATACTCTACACTTTTGAGGTTCTTTGATGTTTTTTTTTGTTCCTCCACTTATGGCTGCACTATCCATCACCCTACCCACTCATGTACCATTGACCAAGCTTTGCACAGTGCCAACCCAGTGCCAACCCAACTTGCTGCGGCCTCGGCTGCGGCACAAAACGCGCAAGCCACAGCGGTTCTGCTGGATTTCTGCGGGCGCCAAAAATCAGGGGGCCCTCTGATCCTAAGAAGTCTCTGCGGAAGCCGGCCGTGCAACAAACACTGACACTGACGGTGTCATGGTCAAGTTGCCATCGATGGTTACATGGGATTAGTGGGTGTTTTTGTGGCGTATGGTCATCATTAGTCATCCCACCACTTGTTTAATGAATATAGTCATGATATAGTCATGGAATTCCCATCATAAAATGTTGACAGTTTTCGTATGTTTTCTCATGGTCATCCCATGACTACAGGGCTGGCTTTTCCCCAGGATCACCCAGCAGAACGGCGTTTAAGCAACTAATGTTGTCGAGGTATGTCATGGTTGCTTAAGTACGAGATTTCTGATGATTTATTCATGACCTGACTTAGCCTGACTTCAAATCTACAATGTATTGCGGAAACGGATACTACCACCCTCACAAAAAGTCATGGTTGCGTCATGTGGATATTTGTTCTCAAAGAGGCAGTCCACAGTCGTAATCCTTGACCAATTTTTCTGACCGAAAATCTTCTGAAAATCTGTTGACTTGGTCTAGTATCAAATTCAACAGGTCTGCAGAACCAAAATTACCCTCTGGTAAACATACAGTTCGCTATTGAACATGGCAATTTTTAATGGGAAAACTCACTATTTCGACTGGGCCACTTTCAATAGCTATGTAAGAAATTACCAGAGGGTATGCAAACACCGGGAATTACCCTCTGGCTATGACTAACAGTTCGCCATGGTATAGATGGCCCATAGGTTTATAGAGGTTTACCTATTAATAGCATGGTGATTTTCCAGTTCGCGAACTGTGAATGTCATAACCAGATGGTAGCCATGCCGGAAGTTGGACGGACGCCATCCATGGTTCTAGATCTACTAAATCCACGATGCCCCCTAAAGGTCATATAAAACCTAAACATATTTTTTATTGTTTGATTTATTTATTGATTGATTTATTTATTTATCTATTGTTTTATTGTTTTATTTATTTACTTATTTACTTATTTATTGTAGCACGGAAATACAAATATGTTCTAACATTTTGCAAGCAGAGAGATTCAGATCGGCTTGGCCAGATTTTTCTACGTCACCTTTTCTTGTCTTGTTATGTATCATCTCCCGAATTTGACATGGTCATTGCAAAATAGGCATGGATTTGCTTAAGGAACCACCAAAAAATAAAAACATGTTCCTTTTGGATTCCCCTATTAGTGGATGTCCCATGGATAAAAAATCATCTTTAGCAAATCCAAATAGGGGTTGCAAAGCAGGACCCAAGAATGGTAGCTAATGTAGCGGGACGTATCTTCTATGGCTAGAAGTGCCGCATAATCAGCGAACACAAAATGCTCACTAACCGGGGCTCGCATGCAAGGATGAAAAACAACAGGTATCCGACATGACACCACCAAACAACTTAGTTCTGTACTGTCATGTTCTGTCCCCAGTGGTTATGAAGTCACCATGTGGTCAAAAATCCTGCATTTTTTTGGTTCAGCAAACCAGCAACCACAACACCACCAACCCAGATACCATTTTTTGTTGATATTACGAATTCCCGTGTGTGTGTGTGTGCAAGACCATGAGTGATGTCAGTGACAGTCGAAAATTATTGTGTTTAATTTACACTATATCTCCATGCATATGTAGGTATATGATGTTATATGTGTATAGACGCATGGGTTATTTCCCTTCACTGGTAAATAGTAAATTCAGGCTATAAAAGTGATATTGAAACCCGTTTTAGTAATGGAAAAGCATCATTTTTGAGACAAAAATCCTGTTCCAATATGCTCCAAAAATGTCCAATCATATACTTCAACGAAATTGTTGGTCGATTAATGCCACCCCAAATATATAAACCTGTTCCAAATAATGGCAAATTATTGAAATGTCTACTGTCCCTATGAATAAACTCAGTGTTTACTCGCCCTGGGCGTTTTCATTTCTGAATCTACACCCCATCTTACAGCCACCTTTGTTGGCACCCCGGGGGTCTGGCCTTGCAGCCAACCTGGCCTACCATTTGCGGATGGATGACGGCATTTTGTGACATCTGTCAAAAGCACGCCGCATATTGCGGAGGAGCATTGGCCTTTGAAGGAATAATATCTGATTGGTGGTTTCAACCCCTCTAAAAAATATTAGTCAGTTGGGGTTACTATTCCCAATATATGGAAAAATAAAAAATGTTCCAGACCACCAACCAGTTGTATTCCATAGTGAGAATATTGAAAAAAGAAGGTTGCACTTCTTGAAAAGGAACACATGTTTACATAGAGAGAGTTCAAAATTTGTATGCTGCACAGAAACACCTTAATGACTCACAGAAACAACTGGGAACTGTGGCACAGAAGCAATACCCTAAGGCCCTATGGGCCTGTGGCCTGTAAGGATCAAAGGGGCGAGCCTAGACTGATTGAGACCTCGGGTGATATCTGTCTATACTTAGAATTGACTACTGACTGCGCACTGCCACAACTAGCCAGTCTCAAAAAAATAATAATCTAACGTACCCTTCGGTAATCAAACACGGCAATGGAAATTCCTTCATTTACAGATCAAGTTCCCTGCTATAAACCTCCATTTAGGACTTCCGAGCTAGCCTTGATAATGTCTGGGCAAATTATAATAATTCACTAACCTGAATAGTTCGGCCATTTGGGGATGATTCCCCTGAAATAAACCATGATTTCCAGTGAGGTCGTAGTGAGGTCGTTATAATTTACCCAGATAATGTGAAGGGTTTAGCTTTCTGTTTTGGATCGGGCACCACGGCTTCTCTCGCGCTCATTCCAGTGGCATCGTGCTCATTGTCAACGCTAAGCCAACTGGTCGCCGGGAAATCTGGATCCATTCTCTGACAGAAATGGGGAGTCAAAACCCATGGAACACGATCCGTACCCCCTGATTTTTTACATTTTTTTACATCAAAAAAACCAGCGTTTGCGAAAATGGATGTTCATCCCCCAAAAAAATGGTGTCTTGAGTGTCTTGATACCCTAATCTCTACTGAAGTTGCTGTTTATGATGGCAGGGGGTCGATGCTTTGCCCGTTCAAAGCATCCGCCCCGTGTCATCAACGAGTGAAAAACCGAACGCGCCCAGTGAGTTTTTTGGTGCCTACTTCGCCTGGTTTTTGAGGCTAGGTTCATAACCCTGGCTCGCAAGTCCCTGATTTCTGGAAGTGTCTCATATGTATGTATGTATGTATGTATGTATGTATGTATGTATGTATGTATGTATGTATGTATGTATGTATGTATGTATGTATGTATGTATGTATGTATGTATGTATGTATGTATGTATGTATGTATGTATGTATGTATGTATGTATGTATGTATGTATGTATGTATGTATGTATGTATGTATGTATGTATGTATGTATGTATGTATGTATGTATGTATGTATGTATGTATGTATGTATGTATGTAGTATGTATGTATGTATGTATGTATGTATGTATGTATGTATGTATGTATGTATGTATGTATGTATGTATGTATGTATGTATGTATGTATGTATGTATGTATGTATGTATGTATGTATGTATGTATGTATGTATGTATGTGTGTGTGTCTGTCTGTCTGTCTGTCTGTATGTATGTATGTATGTATGTATGTATGTATGTATGTATGTATGTATGTATGTATGTATGTATGTATGTATGTATGTATGTATGTATGTATGTATGTATGTATGTATGTATGTATGTAGTATGTATGTATGTATGTATGTATGTATGTATGTATGTATGTATGTATGTATGTATGTATGTATGTATGTATGTATGTATGTATGTATGTATGTATGTCATGTATGTACATATACCCACGTTGTTATGTGTATATATATATGTGTGTAAGGCAAATTAATGCCAATGTCAACTCCAATGCCAATGTCAATGCCAATGTTAATATCAATTGCAGTCAATGTCTATGCCAATGTCATGCAATGTAGTGCCAATGTCAATGTCAATGACATGCAATATAATGCGAATGTCAATGTCATGTAATGTAGTGCCAATGTCAATATCAGTGACATGTAGTGTAATGCGAATGTCAATGTCATGTAATGTAGTGCCAATGTCAATGTCATGTAATGTAATGTCATGCCAATGTCAATGTCAATGCCATGTGTCAATGTCATGCAATGTAGTGTCATGTGAATGTCATTGTCAATGGCAATGGCAACACCAGTGTCAATGTCAATGTCAATGACATGTAATGTCATGCGAATGTCAATGCCATATATCAGTAAAGTTGTTATATGCTTATTACATCATATTACCCTCTGGTAAACGTTTACATAACTATGGAAAGATCCACCATGTTTAATGGGAAAATCAACGATTTCTAAATGGCCATGTTCAATAGTTTTTTGCAAACATTTACCAGATGGAAACTTATCTTCCATTATAAGTTGGTTTTTAAACCCCATTAACATCCATTAACTAGCTGGTTGGTGGTTTTAACCATCTTGAAAAATATGAAAGTCAATAGGAAGGATTATCCCATATATGAAATGGAAAATAAAATTCATGTTCCAAACCACCAACCAGCTAGAGTTATATCATGTTATATCTACTCACGCTTCTGGGATTGCTACCTTTCAAGGCACCTTTTGAAACGTCTCTGGGGCGCTCGGACATCCCAATCGGCAGGATCCT